GGAGGGGCTACGTCAAGTCTACTGTGTTCAAGACACAGTACACATGAAGGAATACCCTACCGAATTATAGAAGTTGAAGGTGCGTAGTGATCTTATGACCACACCCAGTCAAGAGACTGATGATGATGATAAAAAAAAAATGTTTCTCCATTCAAAAGCAATACTTGAATTGGAAGATTTTTTTCCATTTTTAGTTTGGAGCTTCACCCAATACAGTGTTTACTTTGTAAAAATACAAGTCTGAGAAAAAGGAATTGGAATGATACCTTTTTAACCTAGTGCAAGATTAATCAATCCTGTCTGTCTTTTTTTCAAAAAATCTGTCTTACAGTCTTATGAAGAGCTGTTTATTAATGTTTGATCCCAAATTCATTTTGTTCTGAAATAACTTTTTCAATCTATTAAAGTACAAAACTTGCAAATTGGAATTGATGTAGATATCGTATGTAACTCTCTTTTTAGAGTCTCTAATCAATCAGATTTATTATTTCTCAACCTTGACATAGTGAAAAAATTTCAAATCATCCCCTCTTCACTGTTCGGAATGCTAATCATGATGAGTTGGCTCACGTTATCAGGACTAACATTACAATGAGTCATCTAGTTTTAAATGCAAGAAATGTGCAAAAGTTTGCATTTATTCACAAGTACTGTTTGATTTGTTTGTGTAAGTAGAAAAAAATCTTTAATTCAGGTATTTTATTTACTTAGAGAATAAGTAAAAAAGAAAAGTTAATAAAATTTAACCCGTGGGGGGAAAAAAGGTATTTGTTAAAAACATGGTTATTTTTGCCTTTCTCTTCAGATTATTAGCTTGCTCATCTTGGTGGTTATAATCACATTTTGGCTCTATTCAGATGTCTGTCGTACCCTGTAACCATCTAGAAATTTTGAAACGAATTCTTTATTAAATCCACCAGAATAGATTGTTCTCATTCCACTTTCCATGTTTAGCTATATTTCTTCCAGTCAATATCCCTTTTTAGTTTTAGTCACTTGTCCGTTTCTTCCTTTGAACTATGACTTCTCTGAACTACCGACAAAGAGTTTGAACTTGACTTGTGACTCTCATGTAAACAGGTATTCTTTACTTTAACCAAAGGTTGTGTAAATGAAAAACTGCGCTAAATTGAATCTGGAGTAGTGAATGCGAACAGACATTCTACAAAGTAACAAAAGTAACTCTCTCTAAAAAAACAATAATGTTATTGTTAGTATATCTGCCTATATAGTTATTTTTTTAACAAGTTTAAACTTTAAAGTTAAAGAAGCATGCCAAATTTAGTAAGTTAACTTGTATTTTGTTGGTGCTTGGTGGTAACATGTCGAAATTAACAACTGCGTCTTTTGCTTGTGTGTTCACTCAAAAATCCCGCCAAAATTTTGCTTAGTTGTGTTACTCGGCAGCAACAGTGAAGAAGCCAATGTTACAATGTCTTTTTGTTAATCAGAAGAGAAAATACTTCCTACTTCCACCTTTTGCAAACGCACAGTCTCATTCTTCCATAAATTTACTCGCTCATTCATTCATTCATTTTTGTTATATATACCAACCACTTCCGTGTGTGTGTGTACTGCTTCATTCAACTAACAACTATGTCGCTAGGCAACGCAACAACAATTGTAATACTTTAATATTGAGTTTTTTTTATATAAGGGGAAGTAACTCTAAAGACTTATTTAATATTTCATTAGCTCTATTTTGTGTTTACGGATGTTCGGTTGAATAAGTTCGTTGGGAGATAGAAATCTTGCAATTAAATTTTGCTATTTTCTGCAAGGTTGTTACTATAATTTAAGTATCCAAATCCTCAAGTTATTCAAGTATGAAGCATTAATTTGTGAAGCACTATATTATAATAGCTTATACTCATCTTACAAAGTACATTATGATTAAATTGACACCCTACCGAGAATACCATGGACAGAATATGTGATTAATGAAGAAGTTATAAGGAAAATAGGAACTGATAATTACAATCAAAGAGACAAGTGAAATTTCTCGGATATAAAACAGAAAAGAAGGCCTGTAGAATTTTACATTTTACAGGACATATTGAAGGAAAGAGAAGTAGTGGCAAAGCAGCAAGTAACCTATTTAATGACTTTGAATGAATGGATGACAGAATAACGACAAAGATGGATGTTAAAGATCCAAAAGTTACTTTCAACAACAGAAATAGTAATATGTAGAGAGCAACGATCACCCATCTTCATGAAAGAAAATAGCACATAAAGAAAATGACAAGCACCATAATTTTGACTTTTCTTGAAGTAGTAAAATTGAGGAATCATTCTTAAAAAGTACTGTTTTAATTGTGAATAAAAATTGTTTTTATACATTCATTTTTATACATATTTAAGCAATATCAATGCTATGTAAACAAAATTATTGTATAAATTTCTCACTTGTTTCACAAATAACTTTAAAACATCTTTGAATGTGCCTTTCAGTAAACTGATGAAATGTCTGTAAATAAAAACTTGCACAGGGAGATTGGTGTTTCTTTTAATATTTACATTTTGTTTACAAAAGTTTGAGTGATTAGTGGTATAACAAGTGTTAATAAAAGATGATAGCTATTTTTTAATGTGACTGTTGGTAGCTGATAGCAATAAACATTGATCAACAGGCATGTTTTATTGTTGGCCTTTTCCATAGATTTTGCACTGTGACTATAAGAAGAAATACCTTAGGAAATATTTGCATGTTTATGTTCTTAGTTTCAATTTCTTTATTCTATATAATCTTATATTTAAAGTTTGACATTCTTAATTTTATTGAAGATTTCTAATATAAAATTAATCAGATATAAAGGATGTTAGAATACATTGTAATAAGCACAAACTACATTGAAGCATTTTATTTCTAACCAGTACTTTAACAAACATGGGCCCACTTTTATTACATATTTTAATTTTAAAACATATTTTGTTTGTTCAACAAGGAAGAAAAAGCAGCATATAACTTCTGCAGTTATGAGCTTAAGCTATAAAATCTAACTTGTTTTTGTTTCTATGAATTTTCATTTTTTTAAATGGGTGGGAAAAGTGGGTTATATTAATATTTTTAAAATACTGCAAATTATTACCAGTAAATTGTATTTTAATTATTAAATTTAGTAATTCAGAATGAATTAAATATAAGTAAAATTTAAAAGTAGATTTCAAATAACGTTTTTGATGGATGTTTGGCATCGTGAAACTAAGCAAATCCTGTAGACTTATTTTGAATTTTGTAAAAGAGAGCATATAAATTTTAGATTTAAAAAGCATTTTTAGAATGAATTTTAAAATTATTATTGATGCTGTTGCTCTTTATTATATAATTTTTTTTTCACAAACTTATGAAATTTATCTTTGTTCAGGAATTGAACAATAAGTCTACAAGTAAAAATGATTAGATTTGAATATTAAGGCTTTTCATTAGATTTTAGCTACTTTTTCACACTGATAATTTTAAAATATCTGGTATAGACAAGTAATGATCAATAATGATTTGAATGGTACTTAGCTCTTCATGCAGTTTCAGTTACCTAATATTCTGTCTTTATGTAACAAAACATGCTTTGATATTGATTAGCGACTCCCAAGAATGATACCTTGGCACAATTCAAGCACTAAATAATTAGATCTCAAATCTTACTGAATTTTTTTCCTGGTGACCAGTAAAGAACAAAAAAGAAAAAAGTTATCTCCCTTTTGACTCAACTCTCCAAGTTTTTGTTTATCTCTGCTATAGACAGGTATTGAACTCACAACTCTTTGGGTCAAATCACTGAATTACAAAATTCGGCGAGCAAAAGAAAGTGCTTGGTTTGAAATTCCAATCACCTGAAGAGGCCAGAGTGTACAATCACCGAAATGTTGTGAATATGGCAACAAAGATGAGGACAACAGTCCGAACATTGTAAATGGTGTAAAAATAATTACAATACCTCATCTCAGAAATATAGACAGAGACATTAAAGTGTATTCATTACACACTACAATCTTCTGAAGATGGTTGGAGAATTGATCAACTGAAAATCATGACAATGATAAATGAGGATAATAACAAGAAAAAAAAAAAAGATTCATTTAAGTAAAGAAGGATATTTTGATGTTTTCTTAGTCATTTGTAACTTTTTTTTCTGTTTCTTTTCTACTGAAAGCACCCCTCTGTACTTTTTTTTTTTTTTTTATTTTTTTGCTATGTAGATGCAGATGATAGATTAGGATTGGTTAAAAAAAAAAAAAAAAAAACTAGAAATCTGGTTTCAAATTTAATCACTACCTACAACCTTGAATTTTCACTTATAGTATGCTATGTTGTTTACTCATATTCTATGCATAAATTTTACTGCTATTAATACTGAAGCCATCAAGAAAATATATTCTCTTGTTATTTCACATTCAGGCTTTGTTTTATTTTGAAGGCATGTTTGAATATGAACCTAACCTGAGAGATAATAAGGGACAAAAGATTGTTTCTGATCTAAAACTTCTTGACTTTGATTTTGTTGTATATTTTAACTAATGTTGTAACTCTTCATCTAAACGCGAAAGAAATTGAAAATCAAAAATTGTAAGAAAATCTCAAAACTTTTCCCTTTCCTCTTTCTCCTTCAACGATGAAGTTATATAGTACAAGGGAAGTAACTCAGTTTTTAACAAAATCGATATATTACACATATCTTAGGGAAATTTGACAATTTTATTTATTTTTTAATAAAATATTTCAATAACCTATTTTTGTAACGAAATTCAAAAATTGGCTAAAATTTAGCTACAGGTAACATGCTTTCTTTTATGATGTTTCAAAGTTCAGTGGGACATAGAAAAGATTGACAAATTTTGTATTGGCATTTAGTGTACATGTTTGGGTGAATTTACAATATAAATTATCTTAACTCTATTCCTTATCTAACAAAAATCACTATTTTGTTCTAAACTTGATTTCATTTTGTTCTAAATTTCATTTTGCTCTTAAAATCAACAGATTTTTTTCTGCTTTACAGATAAGAAAAAGCTTCGTCCTCCTGACAAGAAAAATATTGATACACATTTGAATCATATTAAATTAAAAGAGAAAGAATTGGTGAGTGTTAAAATTTTTTTCATCATTGCAGAGAGAGAGAAAAAAGTAAAAGATGAAGTCAAAGAAAAATAATATGATGAAGAGAGTGTGAAATTGCAATAAGATGTGAAGAGAAAAGGCTTAACAATTTCCAAAGGAGAAAAATAATTGTAAAAAAAAAAAAAAAAAATAAAAAACCCGAGTACATATTTCTGCCATCCCTTAGGTTCTTCCCTATTTGAAAATCACCTGCAAATGTTTTCTTTATCCCTTGTTATTGAAGTGGGAGGAAGAATAATTGTTTTAAATAGTTATTTGCAAAAAAAACAAAACAAAAAAAAAAACAAACAGTATTTGCTAGTCTATAAGATGCAATATATAGTGCTGCATATTGGATTAGCCATAAAGCTTATTGTCCTTTTTGCAATTAGAACTTTTTCAATAACTTTCATTCAAACAGATGTAACTTGATTGTATCATGACAGTTATTATGTCAATGTGCATTTTTGTTTATTGATTTTAACATTGAATATAGGATCAAATTAACATTTTCAACAAATGCTGTTTTATTTTAAGAAAGGTAAAAATATTTACCAAATTTATGGAGAACATATGAATCATCAAATCTATCCAAAGTGGGCACTGCTTAACAGACTAGTCTACTAAAAAAAAAAAAAATTGTGTGTGTGTGTGGGGGGTAATTTTTGTAATTTAGCAATCTTTATACTTACTTTAAGCTGTGACACTTATCAGAATTGAAAAATATTTTTATTTATTAAGAAGCACATGCACAGATGCACAGACATTTGAAGTTCATAATTTTTTTTATCTTAAATTAAGAATATATTTAAATGAGAAATCATTTTGTACCTCACCCAAATGAAAAAGTCTATAATGCTGTAAAAGTCAGGGATCAATTTGACACAGTGTCAATATTATAAACAGGATAAATCGATAATAAATCTTTATATTTAAATATCAATATTTTTTTGATTCTGAAAAATGCTGCAGCCTAAGGAAGGTCTAAAGAATGCCAATTTGAAAAAATTTGTTTGGATACTTTACAACAATGTAAAATGAAAGAGATTATGGGGACAAACAAAAAGAAAGTGATGCTGTACAATGTGAGATGGATAAATTGTCTTCTAAATTACTCCAAAATGAAAATAACACTGACCTCTCATTTTAACAGATATATTTACCAAAATTACACAAAAAATATCTTGAAATACTAAAGAGTAAATTTATTCAATAAAATTGCTATTGGCTTCAACCACAGCTTCCAGACAATTTTGGAATCTCCTGCAACTCTTCTGGATGGTCTCCTTGTTTAATTTGGTGAATGCTGCCATAATCCTTGCCTTCAGTTCATCTTTGGTATTGCAAGGAGTTTTGTTGGTCTCTCGCTCAACTGTGCCCCACACATAGCGATCAAGGGGCTTGCAGTCTGGGAAGTTAGGTTGCCTGATGTCAGGAGTAATGTGGTTGCAGAAATTGTCTGACAGTCATGACTGGGTTCTCCTGCTTGTGCAGCATGATGTTCAATGGGGTTATTATTAAAATATATAGAAGGTGATCTCCATCATTGCTACTTACAGCAACTATAAGGGGTTCTTGTATAATGTTATTGTTTTCAATGACATTAATTCAGATGTTCATTTAGTAGCAGCACTTTTCATAATTGTCTTTTCATTCATTGTCCTTTTTTGAATTTTTGTAGCATTTACTACTGGGCAATGTTGACTAGACATGTATTTTTGCTATCTTTAAGGGAAACAACATTTTTGTTTACCAACTACTACTTGTAACCCAGGTTGTACAGGAAGTATGAATATGTATCAATAAATGTTCTCATTGCATTGTACTTTTTCCTTGGACAACATTGGTGATAGAGAAATATGACGTACTGCTTGGGCAACTGCCGATCTCATAAATTTCTGTCCATGCCTGAACCCTGGAGAGGACACTCCAGCATCTCCTCACTGTGACAGCAAAACACAAGAAGCAATAGTCTACTGACAGGAGGATTCTGAAGGTCCTTCTGTAAAGGGAACTGGCAACCTCATCTCAGCAGCTGAGGCATAACTTTTTGAGTACAGATCCAGGGTCTCTTGAGACCAATGGATGCCACATATAATTTTGTTATCAATAATATTGATAAGCTAATGGAGGTGAAAAGCCATTATTCTAATAACCTTTGTTCAGTCAGATCCAGCCAAACTAGGAACAAATGCATCAGTTAAAAGCATTCCTTTTCAGTATTTTTTTTTTCATGTCCTGAATAGGAAGCTTTTGGCTCATTCCGTGTTAAATCAACAAATTTTGGTGGGGGCAAATACCATGTCCGACTCGGATTTTTTTCAAATTTGCTACAGTTATAGATCTCCATGAAAGAATTGAATGGCACCTGTTACACATCTCAAGGTCAAGGGGTTCTGAGATATGACCTCTGACCTTTTTACGAAAATGTGAATAGTGACTAAATTTAAAAGATGATATCTCAGTTGTTTATGGGCCTACAAAGTTCATTCATATATCATTCTATTGTACTTGGATAGATCTACAATTTTATCTAGGGATATCTTTTTTTAGAGGTCAAATAAAAAAGTTGACCTTGACCTTTCATCTGACTTATCTCAAAAAACGTTATTTTAATTTTTTAAAAATTTTGACAAAAGATTTGACTATCTTATGACAGTATATATTCCAAATTTCATGATGGGCATTTCACTAGAACTGTTGCTACAAGCGTTTTATAGAACTGGGCAAAATTCAAAATGGCGGAATGTAGTATCTGCTACTTCATATAAAAACATTTTGATATTTCACAATATGGTCAAGTTGTATATCTTTGTAAAGCTATTTTAATGCTGATTAATATTCACATAAGGACCATGGTCATGAAATCAGTAAAACAATTTTTTCTGCTGATGAAACTGAATGACACGGAATGAGCCTTTTTCATAATGACAGATTCAAATTTCTTTTTGTTTCTTTGATAGTAGTTTGACTTTTTGTGAAGTGAAGTTCAAATAATAGAGAACATTTCCTTAATGGTAAAAAAACTTAAATATAGTTTGAAGAAGCAGACATATTAGAATTAACTGTCAAAAAGAAATAGGTGATACGATTTCTCTTAAGTGGCCAGCATTTTGATCAACCCTTATCAAAGAGGGTCATTGATGAGCAAGGGAGTTTGACCTGTGCTGGACCAGGGTCATTGAGACTATCAATTACAGTAATAATAGAAAATAGTATTAGAAGATAAGAAGATTGAAAGAATCAGTACACATGTTTGGTTCTGATAACTTTTTTATCAGTTCTAACATAGAATTGAACACATTAATGCCTTTGATTTCAAAAGTATAAACAGTTTGTTTCAAAATTTTCATTAGCTGATTGTTGGCCAAATAGATTTAAATGTTGGCTATAATAGGTGGTTATGATTTCTATTTCTGGGTTAGTTTAGTGAAAGAAGAAGAAGCATTTATGACGAGGACAAATGAATTAAGAAGAATTAACTGATATGGGATATCAACATAGCACGGATAATGGAATTAGAACAAGTATTTAACCATAATATCTGTCTATATATCTGAAATGAGGTATTGTAAATATTTACATTGTTTAGACTGTTAAACCTTAATTACAAAATATGATTTAGATGTTTAATTTTTGGGAATGGGACTTAGCATATTTTTTCTATATACAGATTTGCAGAACAAGGAATCATTATCTTTGCGACTAATCAAATGTCTTTTGTCCAATTGTATCTAACCTAGAAATTTAATTGAATTCCTTAGATTTGAGCAGTTTTTTGAAGAAAAATATATAACACTAATTCATTTTTTATTGGCTTAGTTAGTCTACAGATATGTGATTTTAAAAAGTAGTCTATATATTCTAAAATAGCTTTGATGTAACAAAATGGAAATTAATGCTATAAAATCAAATTCAAAATCCTAATTGCCCATAATAGTTATTACATGAACTATTTTGTTTCAAATGGCAAATATGACTTTAATATCAATATTTATATGAAAAAAAACAATGTGCATATAAAGTGTTTTATTTCGTTTGATCAATATATTTGTATTAAATTAAATCGGTATGTATGTGCACACATTTCTATTTAATATGCTATCACTTCTATTATTATTATTTAAACTTATTGCTAGTAATATGATTATTTGCTTAAATAAGTAACTGCATGTAATGATGAGTCACTCACTAATAAGGGAGATATTTTAATATTTGGAGAAGTGAAATTTTTCTCAATATGCAATAAAAAGGAATATTGTTTTTACTAAATGTTCATGCAATACTCGGCCCAAGAGATACTCAAGGTAGAGGGTTACTGAGTAAGGTTGTTGTTTGGCCATAAGAGGAGGAAGTAAGTGCAGATTAGAAGGCTATGTAGGATATATAACAGTTGACCCTAGGAGGAAGTTAAGATTGTAGTGATCAGGTAAGCATCCACTTGGAAGTTTGTTCCATAAAATAGCAGTCTGAGTGGAACTAATTTTTCTTACCAATGGAATATGATGAGGATGAGACAACCTTGTGTATTGTGGCATGGTGGGACCTAACTGTAAAGGTCTGAACTAGTGAAACTATGAAATGTAGCTTGTCTGAACATTTACCATAGAAATAGATAGTAGTGATAGGTCTGTGGTGTTTTGCCTAAATCATCATCCACAAGGCTGTGTAGACACTTTTAAACTCTGTCAAGGCCGGAAAGTGAGGATTGAGCAGCCACAATTCAGATATGGCAGCAATGTTCAATTTTGATTCTGATCAGATTCTTGCAGGATGAGTCAGTACTTTCTGGAGTGGCATACGAAACAAACCATTTTTGAAGCATTTTTAGAAATGGATTGTATATATGAAGATCTGGAATGAACTGGAGTCCCAGTAGATATTCAAGGCAAAGAGCATTGAAAATACAACCATCATCATGACTGAAGAAAATTCCAGGTCTACTTGCTGTTGATAAAACATTACTTATTTAGTTTTGGAGGTATTGAATGTTATATGCCAATTTTTTCTCCCATTGAGCTGTTAGAGCTAGATCAGAGGAGAGATCTGTTGCCAGGCTCTCATTATCTAAATTTTTAGAGATACTCATAAAATGTGGTATTATCTACATAGATATTTATTAATGATCTGAGAATGTCTCTGGGCAGATTGTTAATATAAAGCAGAAAGTGGTTTGGACCTAGGAAATAGCCTTCGGAGATGCCTGCATAAATCTTATGGGCTTCATCTTTAGGGACCTATCCAATAAGGAGTTGATAATTGTGAAGACTGTCATAGCTATAGAGTTTGTGTAACAACTCCCTCGGTCATACCTTGTCAAAGGCCTTTGAAATATCTAAGGCAACTGCTTGAATGATGAGTTTATTATCAAGTGCTTTGCTGATTCTGAGTGTAATGATATCAGCAGTGGACCTAAAGGATCAAAATCTATACTGTTAATAAAAAGGTATGTGTGAGAAGAGAATCATTTAAAAGGTTAAATTAATAAATGGGTTGATCTTAATATGTTCACGGGAGCTCCCCTTTGGAAAAAATAAAAATAAACATTCATCTCTGTCTGAAGTATATAAAGTTAGAAAAGATAATAAAAAATTGTCTAAATTCTTTTTTTTATCACTAGTATTCTATCAGATTAACAGAATAAATTTATAATTTAATAAAAGAAAATACATTTTCTTGTTCTAAGTGTAATTTAAATTACCTGATTGATTCATTCATTTTCTACAGCTTATCAACCCTTTGCAGGTTATTTAAAGCCAGAAAATATTTTTAGATTGTAAGAATTCTTTTTTTTTTTTTTAAGATGACAATTTAATGATGCAAGTCTTACTAATTAACCCATAGCTGGGGGAGAAGAGGTGATTTTTATACCTTTCTCAAGAGTATTCATAAGTGAATATAACAAATCCAACTGGAATTGGAACTTGGCCCTGATTTCCAATTCCAAGCCATTATTCATTATACTAACTGTACATCCAAGCTTACTGCAGCTGGTATTTACAAGCAGTCACCCATCTAGGTATTGATCAAGCTCAACATTGCTTGACTTCAATGGAACTAGTGTTTCAATGTGATGTGGCTGTAAGTCAATTTAGACTACAGGAATAAGCAAATGTGAAATTAATGTTTTTTTCTATGTTTATTAATTATAAATTAGTATTTACTTTCATCTTGACATTGTTTAGCATGAAAATTGCTCCAGTAAAAACAAATATTTTGAAAATTAACTAGATTCAAACAAGAGTCTATTGACTGCATTTTGCATAGGCTTGTTATAATTACTGTTTTGATGCTATTTTTCACACCAGGTATTTACAAGGGCGGGTGGAAAAGTTCTTAAACAAACCCACTTCCCAAAATCAGTATTTCAGTGACCCAACAGCAGATTTTGGAGACAGAATGGTTAAAGAAACTTGCGAAACAAATTACTAATTGTGTTGAACTACGAGGTAGTATATATCTGATATCTTGTGTATTCATGGCTTTAGGGCATTTCATTGGTCAGGAGAATTTTTCAGCACCCCATTGTATTAGAAATTATATATTGACATAGTTAATGTAATGATACATTTTTATATGTTTCTAGAAAAATTGCGACACTGAGAGCGAGTCCATTCGACTGGAGATGAAAACTTTGCAACCTACTCGGTATTCTCTGAATGAAGAGAAAAAAAAGAACAACTTGGAATTAAAAAATCTCCGTGCAGAAATACTTGTAAAAGTGAGTGACCTTGGTCTTTTAATCTTGTTTTTTTCTATTTTTATTTTTAATTTAAAAGTGATTTTGAAAAACTTTTCAACAATTCTTTGATTAGAATTTTTGAACTTTGAGCATCAAAGATTCATGCTGCATTTAAAATTCTTTAGTGAGTCTGAATTTTCTTTACCTATGTTAGAAAGGCTAGCAAAAGATGCTCATTATGCTGGGTTATATTTGGGGAAACCATAATAATCACTTTTTTTTATCAACATTGTTCCAGCACTAACAATTACTGTTTATCTTTAGTTCTACTCTCTTGGGCTTTGATTTTGTAAATGATGCTCATCACCAATTTATACTACTTTTTAACAAACTTATGTTAATGTAAATGTTCCTATTACTATCTTTTGTACAATACTGTCTCATTTTCTCTATACTGAATAGCATACTTGCTTTTCTTCTCATATGTGATTGGCTATGTCTGAATTCATTGTTTTGCCTTGGATTATAGCTTTTTCAATGTTCATCTAGTTTAATCATTAGTGAGTGTCTGAGTTCTCTCTTATATTCTCTACCAAGAAAAGTCCACTCAAGTGTATCTGAAATACATGACATTGAGTCCCAAGAAATTATCATTTATCAAAGCACTCATGGTCTTAAATTTCAAACACCTGGTTTGTTTCTGTTTGAATTTCTAGGTATTTATATTTGGACTATTGTCTTCATCTTTGTTGTTATCAAAGCATTTGGCCATTGTGCCCTCTGCCCTTCCTCGGGAGTATATCAAGCTGGGTAACCTACAGGGAATTCTGAACTGAACCCTAGGGATATCTCATCTAGTTCTTATTTTTAGTACTGCTTAGTTATTGTTCACCCATTTCCACTGAGTTCAAGTACACTGCCCAGCCCAAGGATTGAACTCACAATTATTATGCCATCAAATTCCTGAACCAATTCTTTAATCCATTTTAATAAGGACTAGACAAGATATCCCTAGACATAAGCAGTCAGATAAGAACAGGCTACTCCCCTAGATTAAATAAAGTGTTCCATTCAGAATTTCCTGTAGGTTACCTAGATTGATATGCACCCAAGGAAGTTTGGATGGTACAAAGGCTGAAATTTTGTGATAACAACAAAGGTGAGGACAATAGTCTGAATGTAAATAAGTGTTTGGTTATTTGCTTCAACAAATCTTTTTGGCTCCTCAAACATCTAATGTTTAAAATCTCTTTGTTGAATTATTTTTTCTATAGAAATAACAACAAACTGAATTGTTTTCTTTTTATAATAAATGTTTATATTATGGTTATGGCTTGTATTTTTTGTATTGTTATTTAAAAAATTCTTATTTTTTCAGAATAATAATCTGTCCAGGCTGGAATCTGGATTGACTTATAAAAATGAACATAAAATCAATGAAGCCATCAAGTAAGTCTTTTTACTCCGCACATCTCTACATTGTTTTCTGTTTTGACACTTCTATTTTAAAAATAAAATTTTCTTATTTTCCTTTTTCCCATCTAACTCTCTCTTTTCTCCCTCTTGCTCTCTCTCTTCTTCTGTTCTCTATTCTCTCTCACTCTCTTTTCTCGCTCTCTCTCACTCTCTTTTCTCGCTCTCTCTCCTCTCTTTTCTCGCTCTCTCTCTCTCCCTTTTCTCGCTCTCTCTCTCGCTCCCTTTTCTCGCTCTCTCTCTCTCCCTTTTTCCTCCCCTTTTTCGCTCCCTTTTCTCGCTCCCTTTTCTCGCTCTCTCTCTCGCTCTCTTTTCTCGCTCTCTCCGCTCTCTCTCTCGCTCTCTCTCTCTCTCTCTCCCTCTCTCTCTCGCTCTCTTTTCGCTCTCTCTCGCTCTCTTTCTGCTCTCTCTCTCGCTCTCTTTTCTCGCTCTCTCTCTCTCTCGCTCTCTTTTCTCGCTCTCTCTCTCTCTCTCTCTTTTCTCTCTCTCTCTCTCGCTCTCTTTTCTCTCTCTCTCTCTCTCTTTTCTTTTCTCTCTCTCTCTCGCTCTCTTTTCTCGCTCTCTCTCTCGCTCTCTTTTCTCGCTCTCTCTCTCTCTCTCTTTTTCGCCTCTCTCTCTTTTTCGCTCTCACTCTCTTTTCTCGCTCTCACTCTCTTTTCTCGCTCTCACTCTCTTTTCTCGCTCTCTCTCTCACTCTCTTTTCTCGCTCTCTCTCTCACTCTCTTATTTATGATGGTCAGCAAAAAATATATATATATATATTTTTTAATATAGGATAATAGACTTCTTAAAACTATCAGGCTGTTATAAAAAAGTTGATTTTTCTTTTTCAGAAAACTTCAGCTCCAGTTGTCTTGCAATAATTTCAAATTACGGGAAGAGAAGAAAATTGTTGCTGAGATTGATAGTTTAAAACGTTCTAAAAAGTCTTTGGCGTGAGTAAAATGATTTCATTTTTTTTGTGGTCTGTTTACCATTATGTAATTTTGTATAGTAATTTACTGAGTGTATCCCGTCACAAGGTCATAGTATGAGGTGGAGAACTAATGAGAATTGAACTTGTGACTTCATCTGCAATATATTTGTTCATGATGCTATAGAAAAGCCCTGTAAATCTATATTTATAAGCTGAGTAAGTTTCTGTTGTGTATTTTGTAATTTTTTATTTTAACTGTGGATGAAACTAGCTGGAACAATTGTTTCTGTTTTATTGTTTTGTCTGTCTTTATAACAGTCTGCATCACCAGATTTATTGTGCCTACTAATGGGACCCTGGTCATCATATTAGGCTTTGAAATTTTTAACATTTTTCAATAAAGTGGTTAGGTAGATTTACAATTAAGAGTATTTTTTTTTGGAGGAGAAGAGAAAATGTTAAATCTCTTATCCCAAGTATTATGAATGGCACAAACAAAAAAACACAAGACTCTTACACTGGTGTGAAATTTGAAAGAAATTTACAAGTACTAAATGATATGAAAATAGTAAAAGCACAGAATACAAAATGTTCACTTTGATTCATACAACTAGCAAAAGGAGTTGAGAAGGGTGTAAAAATTCACAGGCATCTCTTAGTTTCTTGTTTATTTAGATAGCTGTTCAGTTTTACAGACTGAGATGAGATAAATCTTATATTTTCATAAAAAGTTCAAAATCAGGATTGTCTAGTTATCAAAGAAAGATGATGTAGACTAGCATTATCCTCATGAAATGAACTCTTTCATTAAACTAATTCCAACCGACAACTTTCTGTTGATTGCTGCCTTCAGTTGATCTAATTGCTTCTACAAAATTAGCTTAAAGAGAACTCTCAGTTCCACAATATACATGCCACCTTCTTTGGACAAAGACCAGCTTTTGGTTAGGGTTAGTTGGGTGTTCATTTTACTTACCCAACAATATCTTTCATTTCACATTGTTGTAAATTATCTACTTTTTCATCACCCATCACACTTTGTTTACAAAAAAAATGTCATATTTATGTATAAGATGGGAAATGTACATGGAAATCTAGTCCAGTAGTTTTTTTGCTTATCTAGAAGCCACACATCAAAGTGACTTGACATTGCACATGTCTGTGTTGCCAACCTTTTATTGAATATTCATAAAAATCTGTGTAGTCAATCAATGGATTGATTGTCTAAGAAATGCAATTTGCTTATATTGTTGGAATACACTATATATATCTTATTGCTGTTTTAAATCTTGTAACCTTTTTTGTTTTCCTTACAGTAATTATCTTGCTCACAAGAAAGAGATAGATGAACTTCGGGAGCAACAACTCAAGAAACGGAAAGAAAATGAAGTAAAATTCTAATTTTTTACATTTTTCACTTTCTGAATGCAAACATTTAACATTACAACACCATAAAACAGTGAACAAATGCAGAGGTGCATGCTAAGGGCAAAAATGCAATAGAAATTCACTATGGAGTTGTTGCTGTGTCTTCTGAAAATGCTGTGAACTGAGAGCAAGCATCACTCTGGTGTATTGTATTCGCAAAGGGACATCTGCAGGATGGCCCTAGTATTAGGCACCTATGTTCATTAGCAATAGAAGACAATATTGCATGTAGGAAAGCTTTGAGGTGATAGATGGCGCAAACCTAGTAATATGGCAGTAGAACTTCATCTTCTTAAATCAATCATCCTCCATATGAAGTTGGGATATCAGAAAGTGTCATCTTGTTGGGTCCCAGGATAACAGCTCCCTCGTAGATGGTCAACCTGAGTGACTCCAGTAAGTTGCTTGGGGTATTTTACTGCATCTGCCATATTGTCCTGACTTGACTCTTTTAGATTATCTTTTGTTGGGGTCTTTCAAATGATATTTATCCAGGAAGCAATTTCACACAGATGATGTTGTTGCAGAAATACAAGGAAAGCTGAAGTTGCTTGGGGACATGTTCCTCAAACTGGGTATTTATGCATTCATGCATCAAAGATACAAGTTAATGATGACAACATAGAAAAGTAACATAGTAGTATTGCTAGTATATACAGTTTTATTTTCATAGTACTAATGTTAGATTAGTAAATGTTGACTCTTTACTTTTTGGATATCCCTCATAGTTATATAGGTACATAGTTGAAAGCAGTAGCAAGTTCAATAGGTCTGACAGAATAAAACTGGCAGCTTCTCTCGGAAATGACCTCTAATCAGTGGGGCAAGGAATAGCTTAATGCCTCTGTGGGGGTAACACAACAACTCGACTGATAATAGCAGGTAGGAACAAAAAACCGCGTGGAGGGTAACCGACAAAACCGGTGTCACACGTCCAACCTTCTCACGAGCCAAAAGCCCTCTGATCTGAAACAGAAAAAAGCGCCTGCTTTATACAGCCGAGGACTGACCACGATTTGCATGTGAATGACGAGACAATGAGATTTCGTGTTAACTAACCGAGACTGCCCGGCATAAAACATGGGCGCCGCCATTTTGGTTCCTTTTACCGCTAGCAAACTGGAGTTTGCACATCGCACAGATTCGCAGGCGTTTCCGAAGGTAGGCCATTTTCACAATTTTCCCCACACTCCCCCCCTGATCTCATGATCACAAACAGGGCAAGGAGGTGGCGATCGTCACTGTCGAGTCCCCCTCCGAAGGGAGACAACACAAGCTTCATCCTCATGCATGTTCTCGTCTGTGGTTTGAGTGTCGGTAAACACTGTGTCCGCTGGGAGGCTGCTGTTATCAGAATCACTGCCCTGCAGGTCTAACTCCAAGCAGATCGAATGCTCACTACTCCCAGACTCAGAATCGCTTTCATCGCTCAGTAACGGTAGCGATTGCATTACTGGTCGCAAGTCTTTAATGGGATGAGGCAACCCATCAACTATCACAGATTGCGGGCTGATCACCTCCGTAACACGTCCAGTGCCGTATTTTGTCGTACATTTGCCGCGTGGGTTTTTGACCCAAACAACATCTTCTTTTTTCAATCTTCCTCCAGTCACTTCTAGTTCAGGCAGCGGGTTGGCTTCGATGCCTTTCACTCAGACATGATATTTGTGCAGTGCATCAGCCGGCGCCGTGGATGGTGAAACGTTATCTTTCGGGGCGACATTATACCAGTAAACCGCCTCCGATACTGTACAGCCCTTCCTGGCTGCGATGGTCTTGACAGGTCTGTGGTTTTGCTCCACGATGCCGATTCCACTCGGCGAGTAGGCACATCGAAACCGCAGATGCACGTCCCAATTGTCCACAAATTTTTTAAAGTCCCCACTGGTGACTGCAGTATCATTGTCGGTCAGTATTTCCATGGGTGGGCCTCGCTCCAGGAAAACATTCTCCAACAGTCGAATGACGGTGTTCGCATCTTGTCTGCGCAGCGGCCGCCATACCGCAAACCTGGAGGGACCGCAATCAATAAGCATTAAAAAATTCTCACCATTGTAGTAAGTTATGTCCATCGCTAGTCTGCTCCAGTTGCTCTTCACGCTCAGTTCTCCTCTTTCCCAGTGAACCGGTGCTGGATCGATCGACTGAGAGGTTGTGCAGGCCTTCACAACGGATTTAACGCTTTCTCTGCGGGTCAACTAACCTGGCGAACTACAGAGTTCGTTTCATGCCCAGATGTCCGCTTTGACGATGGGTATTGGCCACCTGGTCCTTGTCCAGTCGTCTCCCTACCACTGCACAGCTCTCGAGCAGTTCTAGCCACCTGTGCGGTACTCTGGTGAGGCGATCTGCACGGTTCTGACAGGACTGTACGAGTGTCACATTTATGGTCAATCCATATTCTTCCACCAGTGATCGCAAAATGCCCAGCCGTCGCCTAACCAGCATCTCACCAGCCGCTCTCGTGTTCACCCGTGCCTTCCCGGTCAAGGTGTCGGAAATCCACCGGTGCACACATGCCGAATCAGTAACCAAGTGCAATGTTGTTGCCTCCCACTGGAGAGCCAGATTCACTCCTTTAAGCGCCATATCGAGTTCAGCTAAATTAATATGCCTAGCATCATTAGTCGGACGCAGCCAACACGCATCTTCAATGACATTTCCGTTCACTTCCAATGCCACTCCTGTCACCATGGAACTCGCATCCACCCAGACTGTGATCTCGTCACCACTCATGCACCAGTCTCCTCCAATGGGATCTAGTTCCCGCACTCTACTTAACATCTCCACTAGTATGCGACAGAGAGAGGGATCTTTGATGTTATCATCCCATCCATTGGTTGCTGCGGTTGCCAGGTACTTGACGAATGCTACTGCCACCCTGAGCCATCCACACACGGGGAAATGTCCAACAAGTTTCCCACACAATGAAAATATGCGCCGCAGGGTGAACACATCAGGGACTTCCGGAATTTGACTTCCTCGTTTCCATCGGAGGGTGCCATTTTCTTCCCAGACTTACAAGCCAAGAACTCTTGCTCCATCTCTCAGTCGCACCGGATCCTTGCATACCAAACCGTAATCCGAAAAGTGTTGTCTTACACGCGATGCAGAGGCCAAACTTTCATTAATGAAAATATCATCAACGTATGCTGATGTGGCACTTTCAATTGTGTGGTCTTGCGATGTGATAGTGTCTATAACAGATTTCATAATGAGTGGTGCTACATTTAGCCCAAATCTTAGCCGCGTAAGACAGAAGCGTTGGCCTTTGAAAATAACCGTTTGAAATGACCACAGCGCTTCGTTGATGTGAATCTGAAGATATGCGTTCCGCAGATCCAGAAGCGACACATTGAACCCCTGCTGCTGCCACGTTCTCAACTTATGTGCACACACTTCTGCATCGGCAGTAAAAGCATCCACAAAGTCGCTTCAATTCGTGGTAATCGAAAGTACCGGACGCACCTTCTGTTTCTGCTCCTGCACGACTGCCATCAAGGGAATCAGACCCTTTGGGGTCCCAGTCTTTCCTGGGGTACAGAATCAACCAGCCGCTCACTGTTGAAGCTCTTTTCTCGTATTTTCCTCTGATTCTGTCGGAACTTTGTACTCTGCAACCTTGTTGTGAAGCTGAACTGGTGGGTCTTTTGGGGCCCATTTCACCTGGCGGTCCACACCCTTTCGTCGAATTGAAAGAGACGTCAAATCTGGCTCACTAATGCAAAGGGCTGCACACACCTTTCTTCCTTTACCCAGTTCCACATTTCCGCTGGCGTGATTATCATGCCTCCTAATGCTCGGATCGCATCAATCCCAAGCAGCAGGTCGTAAATCGAGGGGCCTTTGACGTGCCACCAAAACGCCGACCTTGGCATGATTCCCTCCGTCTGTGAGGATTGATACAGTCCCGACACCACAACAGGCCCGGGACACTCTGTCAATCGTCCGAATCTCGATTTGTTGACTGCTCCATGTCACGCATTGATCCACACTAACAATTGATCGGGAACATCCAGTGTCAACGAGCACCGAACATCGTTTACCCTCAACGCACACGTTGACAATCCTGTGCTACATGGCCTAACTCTTTGCAGCGATAGCAGCATAGTCGTGCTTGTGTCCGTCGGCTGCTCCCGCCTCCTACGTCACTTCGGCTCTGGCAGTCCCTAGAGAAATGGTTGGGTCCACCACACTTGTAGCACTTTGGGCCCTCCCGTGGTGTCTCGGGCGTTTTCTTGGCTGCCGCAACCTGTTCCGTGTCTATCAAGATGTTTCGGGCCCTGGCTAGCAATTCGTCAATTCCCAGTGTGTCCAATCTTGAAGACGCTCACAGGAGCTGACTGGTGTCGTCGGGAAGTCCTGCCAGGAAGGCGCATCCCAGTATGCAGTCCGTTGCTCTGCCAAATGTTACTGCCAGCCTTCGCAAATCAGTCAGGTAGACATCCACAGTCTCACCCGGCTTGAGCCGTCGTCCGACGAACTGTTTCCAAGCGATGAAGGGGTCTATTCCAAAGGCCGTATATAGGGCACCCTTGATCTCTTCTAGGTCAGCATCATCCCCGAGTTGTTGATATATGGCGTAGGCTCCCCCTGTGAGTCTCAGTGGGATGACCAGTGCAGGTTCCGTTATTTTGGACACCCTGCAAACATGTTCGGCCTTTTCAAACCATTCGACGACAGTCGGGCCCGTGGGGGAGCTGTCAAATTCTGGGATCAATTTTAGATCGGACTTGTCCATCGCCGAAATAGCTTGTCGGGGGTAACACAACAACTCAACTGATAATAGCAGGTAGGAACAAAAAAACGCCTGGAGGGTAACCGACAAGACCGGTGTCACATGTCCAACCTTCTCACGAGCCAAAAGCCGTTCTGATCCGAAACAGAAAAACGCGCCTGCTTTATACAGCCGAGGACCGACCACGATTTGCATGCAAATGATGAGACAATGAGATTTCGCGTTAACTAACCAAGACCGCCCAGCATAAAACATGGGCGCTGTCATTTTGGTTCCTTTTACCGCTAGCAAACTGGAGTTTGCACATCGCACAGATTCGCAGGCGTTTCCGAGGTAGGCCATTTTCACAATTTTCCCCACAGCCTCAAAAGCAAAACTGCTATCATTTAATCACCAGAGAACCTTTCCTGCCTTCCATCAGCAGGGCTAATAGTAATGTCCTGGAAAGCAACTATTTGAGCCTTCTTGGGCTCATGTTTTCCACTGACTTGAAGTGGAATGATTATATTGAATCAATTGCTATGTCTATTGCTAGGAAAGTTGGTTCACTGTGTTGTGCCAGACAATTTTTCTTGTCAGATTCCATCTTGCACATCTGTGCATTGAATATTACTGCTATATTGGATCTGGTGCTTCTGCTATATATCTCATTATTCTTGAAAAAGTATCTGCAAACTCATTGATCCTGACCTGGCAGTTGACTTCAGTCACTTTTCTACTTCCATCACATGGCTTCTCTCTGTCTTTTCTACAAATATTTTGATAGCAATTGTTTTGATGAACTTTCCTCCTTGATACCTTGTTTGCATAAATTTAAGCATGATACTAGGTTTCAATGTTTTACTCGCTAGTCCTATTCTAATAGTTTCTTTTCTTGCACTTCTCACCTGTAGAACTCTTTTGTTTTTTTTGCTCCCCTGCCCAGTACAATCTTCAAAAATGTAAATGCACAGCATTTGCCATCTTCTGTTTTTTTTTTTTTAAACTTGTTCTTTTATTGTCTGTTCTCCTCACTAAGGTTTTCTCATTCTCTTTCACTCCCAGTAATCTCTTGCCTCTTAGTGACATCACCTTGCTGATAAAAAAAAAATCTCTGCATTAGATGAGGACTCTTAATATAAAACCACACCCAAAATATTCATAATAGTTTTGTAAGGTATATCAAAGTACAAAACACTAAATTGAAAATAAAATACTGATTCACACAAATGTCTACATAACTGCTGATTTGTTGATTAAAAATAAAGGTTGTTAGAATTTTATCGGTATTGTGTTTAAACTGATTTTTATATACTATTCACATTAGATAAGCTTCATTTGATTTTCTTATCTGTTTGAATAATAAGAAACTTTAGTATCCTTCTGCAATTTATCTTGTTAATAACAGATAATTATTATGAGTTGTTGCATATTTGTTTGAATATTTAATGGCATTTGCAGTGATCCCCTGTAAAAATATATAGACAAAATTAAAAATAATTAAAATTAAAATAAGGCATTTGCGCTTTCTTTTAAAACACTTATCTTTTTATTTCTCTCTCTCTCTCTCTAAACTTCTTTCAATTAATGAGAAGGCAACTTTCGAATAAAAAGAGGAGGAAGAAGATGAAAAGACTGAACTTGGCTGAAAAATGGTGAAGTTTGCAGGACCAGAACCTCCTAATTTGTGACTGAAAACTAACAAAAATCAGGAAGGTCCTATGCATAACTTCCATTATATATAAAAAAGAAAGGGAGACCAGAAAATTAAATTTGGTTAATGAAAAAATCAACACAAAGACTTTTGATGTTAGTTGAAACCAAAGTTCACACCAGAGTATCAGAGCCTTGTGAAAAGGATACGAGTTCACATGTCTGAGTTAGATGAAAAGAATGGAGAGTGATAAGAGATGTGACCACTGAAGAAACCAGTCATGTGTGAAGAAGTATTGAAGAGGTCATCTGCTAATCCTATTTCTGCCCTACATTGGGTCCCCTCAAAAACAGTAGATTGACATTTACCTATTTCTAATATTACTATTACCTCTAGCACTGTCTGACTTCAAAACTACCACTACCAGACTTTGTTCAAACTATGACTAATATTCACCTTATAAATGAACATTTTTGTGACACTGAATATCAAAGGACTCATTCTAAATCAAATAAATAAAAATATATTATATATCCTCTATTATTTCCAAAGTCTCTCTGGCAAATTTACTACAATCATTCACGCATGTAAATCTACAGAGGTTTAAAATGTTTACTTGTTACTTAGTGTTTTATATTTTTGCACAAATTGTTCTACCAATACTTTTGATGGAAAGAAATTATCTAATCTGATGTAATATTTTCTCTTTATTTTCCAGCAATATCATCGGCAGGTATCAATGCTAATTTCTCAAGAGGATGAAATGAGATCAAAACTTAATGTTCTTCAGACAACCATTAAGAATCTTAATTCAGGTAAACTGGCTTTCAATCATCTGTTTAAAAGAAATAAATCCTTGATTTATATACTATCAGAATCATTATCACATTGTAGAGGAAGTGTTGGAATTTATGCACACACTTGAAAGGTTGCAAAGTTAGATTTTGGAAGACTTATTTCTTTTATAACAGGGGTTGGCAAACCCTGGCCCTGGGCATATCTGGCCCATTAAGGATTTTTGTCCAGCCCACCAACACTGAGACACTAATTATCTAATTAATTTTTGGAGTAAATGGCAGAAAAATATCATTGGAGTTAATCAATTCAATGCAGTGCATTTTTTAAATCAAAATTTCATTCTGAATCCAATGCTAACTTCTGCAAGAAATGTTTTGCCAGACTAAATACAATGATTAAGTACTTTATACAGTTTTAAAATGCATCATTAAAGAAAATATATGAAAAAAAGATTTAATTTGTAGTATCAATGAAACAAGTCTGATTTAAAATGGTGTTCAACTGGTAGTGTTCATTCAGTTGGGCAGCAATAAAAATTTTGATGCACTGGACACAACAGTTTTGCACAAAATGTAGCATACTCTATTTTTAATTCGCATACACTTTGAGTTGTATGGATGCAGAGGTATAAAGCCAGCTGATTATTAAAAACAGGACATTACAAGGAGGTGTAATTTTCATTTTTTTTTTTTTTTTTTTTTTTTTTGTTGAATTTATGTAGTTTTTTTATCCTTTTCTTAAACTTAAAGTTTTTGTGAAAGACAACTTCAAATCCTATCATAAGCCCATCAAATTTTTTTTTTTTTTTTTATTAAGATGGGAGAATTTTGATCTATGTAGGAAGACACATCTTGGAGCACAAAAAGTTTTAAAAACAACTATAAAATTGTCAGCTTTGAAAATGCAGAAAAGAAGTGTCCATCATTGAAATATTGATATAGTTTTATTCCACATCTCTTTAAATTATCATCACACATGAGAAAGAATTGTATCTTTATAAAGAGAAAAGATTAAACTTTGTTTACATACTAATTTTATCTAAATAGCCTTTTCTACTCTAACAGCTTTTTTTTTTTTTTTCTTTTTTGCATTTCTCACCTGTGGAACTCCCTTCTGATTTTTTGCTTCCCTCATAACTATAATCTTCAAAAATTGAAATACAATGTCAATCATCAACTTCTGTCTTCTTGAACCTTGTTCCTTTTTTGCCCTTTCCTCAATCCTCCCCATTTTCAATATTCTCATTCACTTTCACTCCCTGTAACAACCCCCCTACATTCTAATGGCATTGTTGCCTTGCTTGGGGTGAAACAATATAAAAAAAGAAAATAAACAAGGTATCACCTGTTGAAATTGAAAGAAATTTCACTATATTGACATCATTTTACTGTGTAAATTTGAGCAGTTTAAGATACCTTTATAGTATGTTCACTCTTGCAGAATTCTTGGCACATATGTTTGTTATTAATATTTTGGCACTAGATTCTAGAGGAAACCTTTACAGCTCTGGTAAAGTTCATGCCTGTTTTATGAGCCTGCTATTATGTAGGTGGTCATCAGTATAGTAATTTAAATAATAAAACTTTATATGGGGGAGATTTTATATATATATATATATATATATATATATATATATACACACACATATATAACCGCAAAATTTTACTGATATTTAGATATAAAATGATATGAATAATATAGATTTTTTTTTTTTTAAATTTCTATTTTCAGAATTAAATGATCTCAATGAGCAAAAGAAAGTCCTTGTAAGTGACTATAAAAGGCGTGAGAAAGACCACAATGTCATGAAAGATGCAATTCGCAAGAAGAACCGGCAGAACTTCAAGCTAAAGGAAGAAGAAAAATGGCAACACTTTCACAGAAAGAATAGGTTTTTTCTTGTTTTTAAATATTGCTTTGATTCAGTTGCTGCCTTTTTAAGAATCTTTTTATTTATTTAGTTAAAAACAATTGTTATATTGTATTAACTGTACTTTTATCTCTTAAACTAAAATATGAACCTAAACTGCTCATTATTAAATTAAATGTACATTTAATCAATTGTATTTGTAATAATTAAGTATTATCAGGTTGGTGTAACAATAATTGTGGTTTTAACAATTGGCTTTAAAACAGTATCTCTCAGTTGAAAATTATTTATTAATTCAAATCAGAACAATTGGAATCTGTTGTTATATAAGCCTATTTATTTCAGTCACATAACATTCTGAAATTCTTTGGTTAATGAATTCTTCAAAGATGTTTTGAGTTGCTGTATGCTTGTTGATGATTCCTTGCATGAAACTATTGAGATTTTTTAAAAAGTAATTATTGTTTGGAGAGAACTGGCTGATGATATAATTACATATTCTAGTTTATTCAATTTTTACAATATCATGGGTGAGACATGTAATTGGACATTATGAAGAAGAATTAATCCTTTTCAATTGACCAATGTTGGACATAAATGTTGCCATTCTTGATTTTCTGGTAATATTTTTCTGTTGTGATGATTTCATCAGGATTCAAGAATCTGCCAACCACCAAACAATGGCTATAAATTTCTTTTAATGCAACTTTAGTTTGTGGCAGTGTGTTGGTGCTTTACCTCAGTTCAGCCACTTTGCCAAATGTTGTCGGTTGTCATATAGAATCCATTTTTTCATCCTGTCACACTGCAGTCAAGAAATGAATCTTTTTTGTTGTGCAAAAGAAGTGCAGACCAGACTTTGTGATGGCATTTTTATTTTTTATTCAATTCATGTGGCACTCATTTGTTAATCTTACCTTTTTTCCAATACTAGATGATTATTGAATGCAGGGTTTAATTCTGCATCATCTTAAGTTGTGTCTGTGCACATCAATAATGATTTTATCTCTGTTAAAATCTTTTGAAACAATGTTGACCTGTGTATTTATTTTATGGTCCCTTGGTCAAATATTTGATTTTATAAGCAGTGAGTTATTTCATTTTGAACATGTGCAATAAAATCACTAGAACTTGTTTTTATTTTCCATCTTATAATTTTACAACTTAAAATAAACAACAAACAATGAAAAGAAAACCATTCGGCATAAATCAAGAAAAATTTATCTTATATGACTTGAGCATATTTAATAGCTTATTAAAAATTAAGCATTAAAGATAACAAAGAGTAATTAATTTTGTACCAATCTAATATTACCGGGATTATGTTTTCTTACTTCCTCTATTCTGTATTATAGAAGTTTGATAAATATGTTAATTGAATCTGATGTTTGTAAGAAATCAATCTGTGTATTTTTTTGTCATAAGTCTTTATAAATTGTTAACCTGACCAAGAAGCCATTAAAAATAGTTATTTGGTTCAATTTTGGAAAGTAGGTTGGGTTGATAATTTTTCAGCATCCCTCTTATTATACTGGATTGCTCATATGATAGTTTATTTCCATTTTATTATATTTGCATGAAAATGAGCATGTTTACGACACTTTTCTTAACTTTCTTCTTTTTGCTTTGATATTTACCTATGCTACCTTAGATGAGTTTTATCTTGTTATGATGGACCTTGTTTGACTCCTGTTTTTGGTTAGTAAAATATAACATATACATCATAACAATAAAGTGAGACACTTATACACATATAGAAGGATTTGCTTATACTAGTTTGGTTGATGTATGAAAGTTTTTATAATGTGATTGTTAATAAATGTTTCTGATTTTTGTGTTTGTCTTGGTGAATGAAGTGATAAGTTTATCAGTAAAAGACAATATTAAACATGAGAAAGTGATTCCTGGAGCTGCTCAAATTTATGTGCTCTCTTTATGAAGGGCCGATGAAAAAGAAAAAGTCTCTAAATTTTCCACCAGTAGGGCAGTTTCTTTTTTTTTTTCTATGGATAATAGGAATTAAGTTTTTTTATTTCTTGGGATCACTACAATCTCAAAGAGCAATGCACTTATCTGGAGGTATTATCATGAATATACATTGACATACCAAAAGTCATGGGATAGCAGTATGTAAAGATAAAGATGCCACCCTTATCTTGATGTGGAAATGTCCAGTTGTCAGTTGTGCTTTGACATATGGTGACTGTATGTGAATACCATCTCTGAAATTGTGGGGACATCTAATATCCTTTGATCTCTGGTGTCATGCGTGTACCAGGAATACATGATGGAAGGCAGCATTGCTTACTGGGATTTTCTTTGTGATGCTCCTTGGACTGATATTTTCAACTTCCCAGTTTTTAAGAACTCTGGTGAATTGTTTGACCCATCCAGCTATCAATCTATTAGCCTTCTACCTTTTTGGGGGAAATCCCTAGAAGCCCTAATTGATGCTGATTGTTCATCTCTTATTGCAGGGCCTTTTCTCAGACAAGCAATACAGCTTTTGTTTTTCCAGGTCAACTGCTAATGTGCTAATAATAATTGTGGAAAGAGTCTTTTGTGCTCTATATAAAAACTGTGAAGCCCAGGACATCTTGAAAGCCTTTGACAGGGTCTGGCATTCAGGACTTCTCTACAAGCTGAAGAGTTATGATCTCTCCGGGCACATTTTTGAGCTGATCCAGTTGTTCCTATCAGATTGTGAAATATAAGTTGTCCTGAATGGCCACTAGTCTACATTATTTCATACTAAAGCTGATGTCTCTCAGGTCTCCATACTTGGTCCTATGCCGCTTTTAATCTCCATTAACAACCTTTCTGATGTCATCAGCTCTCAACTTGGCATCTACGCTGACAATGCTACCATTTACTCCTGCCTTTATTGTAAGGCTGATCAGTATGACAATGTCAAAATGGCAGTTGGTGTCCAAAACAACCTCAAGACCATTGTTAATTGGAGCAAAAGATAGCTTGTCAATTTTAACACCTCCAAATTTAAACTTCTCTCCGATAATCATCTGAGAGACCCCTCTCTGCCTTTCATGAATCTTCTCAGCTGACATGAACTGGAAAGACTATATTGAATCCATTTCTGGATTAACTGCTAAGAAAGTCCGTTTACTGTGCCAGGCGAGACAATTTTTCTCTTCCGAATCTATCTTGTATATTTATAAATCTACCATTTGCCCATGCTTAGAATATTGCTGCTATATATAGTCTGGTGCCCCTGCTGTTTACCTGGAGCTCTTTGATAAGATCCAAAGAAGAATTAGCAATATTATTGGTTCTGATCTGGTGGCTTGGCTTCAGTCACTTATCCACTGTCATAAGGTTTGCTTCTCTGCGCCTTTTTTTTATAAATACTTTCATGGTAATTGTTTGGATGAGCTCTTTGCTATGGTACCTAGACTTTATGAATTTAAGTGCAAATACTAGACTGGTGGCAAGATCTCGTCAATTTACAGTTGAGTTAGCTAGATGTAGCCATAACTTCTGTGCTGACAGTTTCTTTTCTTGCTTCTGTGGAACTCACATGCTTTCCAGCCAACTTTGAATTTAAACTTTTACAGATTAATGTCAATTGCTATTTACTGTCCTCCTAATTGCTCTTTTCTCTTTCTATTCATTACTAATGTTTCTGTACCTAATCCCTCCACACTCTGTATTGCTTGTTATTGGCTGTACTGCCTTGCTTGGGGTGATACTGATTTAAAAAAACAAAATAAAAAAAAACCCTACTCCATGACCATTTGTACACATTCTGGGAGTCCATGTACCCCAACAATGATGGGTTATTCCAACAGGATAATGCACAATGTGCATTTGTTCAGAATTGGATTGAGAAATATGTAAATTTCCAATGAATGGTGTAGACATGACACTTGCCTGACATGAGTCCAATTGAACATTTATAGGATGTGGTGGAGAGGTCTGTCTGCAATGGCGATCTTGTACCTACAAATATCAAGGAACTTTTGACCTCTATCAATATGGCATGGCTCAACATTTCTCTGGATGCCTTCAGACCACCTGTAGAATTGGTACCAAATTGCTGCACTTTACTAGACAAAAGGGATTCTGCATAATATGAGGCACCTAACCCAAGACTTTTGGCACATCAGTATGTGATACTGTTGTCACGGTAAAACAAAAAAAGTTTTGGTAAAACATAGTTTTCTTATGTATAGAAGGAATGATATACTGAAAGACTTTGGAATAAGAATGGTTAATACCTAAAATCTGTGGGAAAAGATTGATAATTTAATTCATATACAGACGACACCTGAAATTGTGCGTTGAGGTTTTGAACAATGGAAAATGACTCAATGATGATTGACATGTGTTCTCCACAACTGAAAATGCAAGCTGTAAAGTGAAAACTTCTTTTTTGTAAACAACGAATTTGGAGTTGATTTCTCCTGGTCGAAAGTTGAGTTGATATATCAGGAGGGGGTGGATAAGCCATTCATGCTCACTGAGGAGATTTAGTGAGAGGTAATAATATGAGAGTGAAAGAAGGGAATTTCCTGAAATTATGAAGTAAGGTGACAACAAAGGGGATTTACCGAAATCCCCCTATGCGCTGTGCCTCACGCCAGTTTATGCAAATGTCAATAAATATGAATGTACGAAGCAAATTTGTCAGATGAGATGGAAACAGGAGAGAGATGGCTGAGAGTTTGTCCCAGCCAGTAGTTGTGATACAACCCACCTGATTGTCTGCCAAAGAGAACCCCTTGACTTCAGCCTTGTACCGAACTTTACCAAAACAGCAAACCAAACTTTACCAAGTCAACAACAATATCACTTCCGATTTAGATGCTGGTTGGGCTGATAATTAGTTGCATGTGAACTCTGATATAACTGATTATTGTACGAAGGACTGATATAAAAACAGTATTTACTTTTTGTTCAATTTATTTGAGTGTTGGTTTTTTTTCTCTGTTTGGACCAGCCCAACATGAAGATATCTGCGCCGATTTGATCTTGGCCTCCTTATGATCAAACTTAAATCACAACATGGGATAGGGCAGGTCTGAGATCAAAGTGCTCTTCATCGCTCAGCTGCGGTGTTGGAAGTCTTGGATGGTCACGGAGGGTGTTGTATGATTACATTTGGTTGCTGTGACCAGGATTGACCCTGTGAGCAACATCTGTAGTTATTAGAATTTATTTAATATTTAGAATCTTGCATACTTTTTAATGTAAACTTCACTTTTCTTTAGTAGTTGAGATTTGAAAGCACATTGTATTATAAAAAATGTATTTATTATTGTGACTCTCTTTTCAGAGAGGATGTCCATGTCCTGTGCACTCCAGAGGAAGAATACATCCAGCATTGTAATACTTTAATTAAATACCTCCAGCAGTTTCCAGTTGCTGATATTGGGCAAGCATCTCGTCAGGCCCAAACTCCAACAGAGGAAACGGTTGCTGCTTCATTAGGTAAAGAGATTTAACATTCTTACATTTTCCTTTCTTGGTTTTTAGCCTTGATTTATAATTTTTTCTTGTATATCTTAATTTTCTTTATCCATTCTACCATTTTATTTTTTTCACTTTTTATTTTAGCCTTTTTTTGTACAACTCCTTTTTTTTCTAATGTTTTGTATTCTCTTTTTATTTCCATATTTATTTCCTCTTTCTCTTTATTCTTTTTCTTCTTACTCTTTTTCTTTCTTTTTTCTTCTTCTTTTTCTCTTTTCTTCTCTCTTTTCTCTTTCTTTCTCTCTCTTTTCTCTTTCTTTCTTCTCTCTTTTCTCTTCTTTCTTCTCTCTTTTCTCTTCTTTCTTCTCTCTTTTCTCTTCTTTCTTCTCTCTTTTCTCTTCTTTCTTCTCTCTCTTCCTTTCTTCTCTCTCTTCCTTTCTTCTCTCTCTTCCTTTCTTCTCTCTCTTCCTTTTTTCTCTCTCTTCCTTTTTTCTCTCTCTTCCTTTTTTCTCTCTCTTCCTTTTTTCTCTCTCTTCCTTTTTTCTCTCTCTTCCTTTTTTCTCTCTCTTCCTTTTTTCTCTCTCTTCCTTTTTTCTCTCTCTTCCTTTTTCTCTCTTTCCTTTTTCTCTCTCTTCCTTTTCTCTCTCTTCTTTTTTCACTCTCTCTTCCTTTTTTTCTCTCTTTCCTTTTTTCTCTCTTCCTTTTTCTCTCTCTTCCTTTTTTTTCTCTCTCCTTTTTCTCTCTCTTTTTTTTTCTCTCTTTTTTTCTCTCTCTTCCTTTTTTTCTCTTTCCTTTTTCTCTCTCTTCCTTTTTCTCTCTCTTCCTTTTTCTCTCTCTTCCTTTTTCTCTCTCTTCCTTTTTCTCTCTCTTCCTTTTTCTCTCTCTTCCTTTTTCTCTCTCTTCCTTTTTTCTCTCTCTTCCTTTTCTCTCTTTCCTTTTTCTCTCTTCCTTTTTTCTCTCTCTTCCTTTTTCTCTCTCTTCCTTTTTTCTCTCTCTTCCTTTTTTCTCTCTCTTCCTTTTTTCTCTCTCTTCCTTTTTTCTCTCTCTTCCTTTTTTCTCTCTCTTCCTTTTTTCTCTCTTCCTTTTTTCTCTCTTCCTTTTTTCTCTCTTCCTTTTTTCTCTCTTCCTTTTTTCTCTCTTCCTTTTCTCTCTCTTCCTTTTTTCTCTCTCTTCCTTTTTTCTCTCTCTTCCTTTTTTCTCTCTCTTCCTTTTTTCTCTCTCTTCCTTTTTTCTCTCTCTTTTTATTTCCATATTTGTCTTAATATTTTCTAATTGTTTCTGTATTTTCTTATTTGGTATGTGTGCATTCCTTTTCATTAGTGTGTGAGTGAGAGAGAGACCCCCCCCCTCATTCTTCATCTTTCTTTCTAAATCTTGTTTTTTCTCTTTATTTTTCTTTGTGTTTTGTTTTTTATTTCCCCTTTACTATTTTTTACTTTTCTTTTTATTTAGGCCCTGTATCTGAGATACAAGGTGAACATGGAGCTACGTATATATTGCTGAAGAAAAATGAGGAGTGTGAGGAATTTTTTTTCGGTGCAGGTCGCCGTCACAAGAAAACCAAGAAAGGACGAAAATTCTCTGCAGTAAGTTTTTTTTTTTTTTTTTTGTGAAATGGATTGATTTAGCTTGATCACATGCTTTATAGCAGAAAGGGGTGTTGGAAATGCCCCCCCCCCTCACTCCGGCTCTTTATAAAAAAATCTGTCTTGGGCTGAGATGAGGGATACAATGATTTCATCTGCTATACACAAGAATGTTATACACTGCTACAACTTTCCTTTGGGTAACCTTCAACCAAACTTTTTCTTCAATCTTCTCTGGACTTAATTTGTCCTTGCCTCTTCCCCTGAAGTATATGATTTTTTTCTTACTACTCAATTCACAAATTGAACTCCTCATTATGAAATAATCTAATCACTTTTATTCATAAGACTGTGGATAAAACTTTCATAAAAGTTCAAGTGAAGTGTGTGTGTGTTTTTTTTTGCCATTTTATTATTATTCTACAGATAAATCCACCCTTTGGTCATATGATAAAATTACAATGAGAACAATAAGTAGAGACAGTCCTTTTATTGAGCCTCAATTATCAATTATGCCTCTCTGAGGCAAAGCTACAAGTAAGAAAAACAAAGAATTAAAAAAGTTCAAAGCCATTAATAAAAACATTTTCTTTTTGTGTTTATTATCTTATCAATAATAATTGTTTTATAACCCTATTCTAAGGGTCACATGCAACACAAATTTGAGAAGTGTCATTTATAAAATTGGTGAAAGATACGATTTTTTTATTTTTAATACACTCACTGACTTTGTTCAAAATATATGCATAAATAACAAAAATTGAACATAAAATTTAAGCAACTTATTTTTGTTGCTTTTTTATCACATTTAGGTGGTTTTATATATTACAATTGTTAAGAGGAAAGATAAACTCGTAAAAGAAAAAATCTATAATGACGGTATTTTATTTAAGAAATTCTGATTTATAAGGATCATTTTTTAGATTTATTGTAATGTTTTGAATATGTTCTTTTTTTGTGTGTGAGTGGGAATATTTTTGGCTGATATCATGTCCAACTATAGAATTAAAACTGATTTATTCTACCCACTGGCTGGCCAAACATTTGCCTCAAAGTCTTAGAAAGAAACCAAATTTTAGATTATTGCTCAAATTGTATTATTGTGTTATTGCAGTTAGGTTGCATCATGTGTCAAATAATGGGTGTGTCATTTTTAGAATTCTTCTTTGAATTATGAAAATTTTAACCATTCTAAGAGTTTCATTGAGATTTAATGTCTTTTGTATTGTCAACTCTGAAGATATAAACAAAAATAAAATTTACTTGTGAAGATAATAAATTATAATTAATGCATATTTATACAAATTGTACTTGTGGACATATCTATAAAAACTTAATTTTAAGATTAACAGAAGTCTTAACTTTAGTTTTGAATGAACTTCTCTATATGTCTGTCGATATCACTTGATCAAAACAATAATAGATTTAAGATATATTTTTAAAAAAGCAAATTCTATTTGGGGATGTACTGTGTGTGGCATAAATATTTACCCAGTATCTAAATATAAATTGAAACACAATTATTTGTAAAAATATTCAAATCTGGCATAAGGCTTCCTACCACTCTTTTGTTTTATTATTTACTGTTTAGTTAAACAAAATGTGATGAAATTGTCACATTGAAAATGACTGGTATGAAGAATTGTGAGGCAATAAAACAGTTGAATGCAGAAAAGCTGTTTTTAATGTGGGTCGAAAAATTTCACGAAAATCAAACAACCTCACTAAATCCAATTCCCGAAAAAAAAACATTCAGTTTGTACTAGGAGAGTCATTGAAGTGGTCAAGAAAAGGTTAAAGAGAAATCCACCAAAAAGCACGAGGAAGATGGCAAAAATGCTGGATATTTTGGATAGGTCACTAATGAGGATTGTGAAAGAGGATTTATGGCTAAAATGATACAAGATTGAATGATGACATCGCCTCTCAAGTACCTCAAGAAAAAATGGCTTGGCAGAGGGAAGAAAATGTTGGAGAGTGCTGCAGACAGTCTTTGTTGGGTCAAACAAGAAGCTTTTTACTGTGGTTAACTATCAAAATGATGAGATTTACATCGGTTAACCAGGAAACATTTCCAAAGATGTCAGAACACATTTCAAGTGACAGAAACCAACTGGTGTCATTGATTGGGCTCCTATTGCTTCTGATGATTTGAAATTGCTGTTAATGTTCATTGAAGCAAGAGTGAAAGTGAATAGCTGAGTTTACCATCAAATGTTAGAGAGAGAGAGATAGATGTGTTGCACTGGTTGCCAATCACATTTGGAAGTTGATATGATTTCAAGATGGAGCTCCCACACACATGGCCAATTTGAAGTAGAACTGGTGCAATTGGTATTTCCATTAATATTTTGACAAGTCAATTTGAAGTCCATCACGCTCTGACATTAATCCTATGGATAACCTCAGGAGATATCATATATATATATATATATCTCCAATGTAGCAAATGCTAGAATATCTTTTTCATTTTATTATTACTTACTGCACCTGAAATTTTCAAATAGTCATGCTATTTATAATTGGTTAGATCATTTTTTACAAACCAGAGTGTAAATTAGAATCATTAATGTTCAGTTGGTATACTACAGTAGTCAAACCTGAAACAAATTTGTTGAATCTTTTTTGTTTTATCAATTGATGTAAAAGATGTAATTCTTTATATTTATTTATTATTAGGTATGTCTGTATGTATTTGGTTAATCTTGGCCATCAAGTGATTCAAAATATATTTTTAAAATGTTTAGACACTAATAGACTAACATGGATGTATTTCTTTATTGCAGACAAAGCCTTTAACCCATTCCCCACAAGTCTTTGCTCAGTTTGAAAATCTGCAGATGTCAGCACCAGCAGGGTTTGCAGAAATCTTGCCTGCTCTGAAACAGTTGGAAGAAAAAAAGGTCAGTTATTTTTTACTTATGCCAAATTTGAAAATGGATATGTTTATTATTAAATTTAAGAATAAAAATGGTTTAAACAAACAAATAAAATCCTATTTAACTTTCCTCTATGAATTTGTTTTATTTCTAATGAAAATCACAAAAAGCTTTCAAAATGCAGTAAAAGTTGTAAACTAGCCAGATGTAGACTTCATATACTAGTTGTATTTTGGTGACTTTTTCATTCTTCAATTATTGTAATGGAATTTGTAATGACAACAAACCGGTTTTTAAAGTATTTACACTATTTACATTATTCAGACTGTTGTCCTCATCTTTATTGTCATATTCACAACATTTTGGCCATTGTATGCTCCGACTGTCTTCAAGTGAAATACAATGAAATTTTGAGCCAAACTCTTTATTTAGTAAATAGGGGGTAGATTGTTCTAGTTCCATGTGCCATGCCTTTTCTGGATATCTCGGTTTCAGTTAATTCTCCTTAGTAACTCAATTCTCCAAGTTTTTGTTCATTTCTGCTGTGGCCAGGTTTTGAACTCTCAATACTTTGGGTCTGATGTAATGAATATGCATACACCTGGGTTCCCCCTCACAGTAATATGATTGGCCAGTGTCAGCCATAAATACAGATTGATGTGGAGGTACAAGGGACGCCTATTGACAACGCCAAGGACCAGTCCATTACGGTTACCTGCTAGTTTGTCTTACTTGGTTACAGTAGTCCAAAACCACTTTGCTACTTCGAATAAATATATCCCTTTCCAGGGCATATCAGTTGGCGACGAGATTTGAAACGACATTACAAGTTAAAAAAAAAAAATACAGTTGACAACACTTACTAACGAAGACTTGTTCGACGCTTACAGAAAGTAAGTAATTTTTCCCTCATTTTGTTTTAACGCTTATTAATGAGTAAAATTAGAAAAGGAAAAACTTGTGCAATGCTTACAGAAAGTAAGAAACTGCCCCCCCTCTTGTTTGGACTTTTTATTGTCTACATAAAGTAGAGCAAAATTTTTTCTTGTGGATACGTTGGCAGAATGGAACAAATTGTGGAATTAACTAAGGTGCTACAAGTCACTTTACAGCAACAATTCCAACAACAACAACAATTTATTCAGCAACAAGAAAGGTTTGAAAAGTTATTCAAACAACAGGCAAAAGACAATAAAGCACTTTGGGAAGACGTATTATCTAGGACAACAAAAGAACTGCATTCTAGATTTTTTTTCTGCTGAAGGAATTTCAAATGCATTCTCTGAATTTAAATACAACTCTGACAGTGGTTCAACGTTTCTGGCTTATTTTCGTAGGTTTGAAACAATATTTACGAAAAGATGCGAACAGTGGTCCAATGAGGAAAAAATCACTCTATTGTTGCAGAAGTTGGGAACAGAAGAAAATACAAAATATGCGAATTTAATCCTCCCAAAGAAGCCAGAAGAAATTACATTCAGTGAAACAGTAGAAATTTTGTCGAAAATTTTCAATAAGAGATTCAAGTGTCTAAGTGTTTTACGATAGTAAAACAAGATGATGAATTTGTCACGTATGCAGGTATGGTTAACGCACAATGTGAGGCATTTAAATTAAAGGAATTGTCAAGTGACATGTTCAAGTGTCTAATTTTTGTGCATGGTCTAACGACACTAAATGACAAAGAAATTAGATCAAGAATCCTGACTATCATGGAATAGGATTCGAATATTACACTACAAAAATAACGGAAGAATGTCAGCAACTTATAAACATAAAAAAAGATTAATACTCGGTTTGAGGAGAAGAGCATTTCGTGAGTACAAACTGTAATACAACAGAAGTGGATACAAAATAAAGAAAGAAAAATTATATGCAGTTCATGTGGAGGACAGCATATAAAGAAGGATTGTTTCTTTAGGGATAAAATATGTTTTAATTTTGGGCATGTAGGCCATAAAAGTTCCCATTGTCAGGCAAAACAGTAAAGTAAAATCAAAGTCTCAAGGAAAGGTGAACGTAGTTTTGTCTAAAAATGAAATTGAGGAGGGTCAAAGAAGAAAATACCTCAATGTAAAAATAAATGGGCAGACCATAAAATTATTACTTGATTCAGATAGTGATATCTTGATAATAAACGAGCAAACATGGAAAAAATCAGTTACCCACCATTGACTAACACAGACAAAATTGCCAGGGGAGTGTCAGGAAAAAGACGTAAGTTTAGAGGTGAATTAAAATGTAACATTGCGTTCATGGGAAAAATTCACAAATCGAAAGTGTATGTGCTCCCTAGTTCAGTAAGCCTCTTTGGTTTAGACTGGATCGTATTGTTTAATTTATGGGAGTTACTGGTAAATTATTTCTGTAACAAAGTTAACGTCATAGAGAACTATAAGATGAAGCAAACAGAAAGATTTATTACAGATTTGAAAGGCGAATTCCCTTGCGTCTTTTCAGAAGGCCTAGGTCTGTGCACAAAAACAGAAGTCAACTTTGAATTGAAAGAAAATGTTAAACCAATCTTTAAACCAAAGAGAAAAGTACCATTTTTGGCACTAAACACAATAAATGAGGAATTATAAAGGTTGGAGAAAATTGGCGTCATTTCAAAAGTTGATTACTCAGATTGGGCGTCTCCAGCTGTATCTATAAAAAAGAAAAACTGAAAAATCAGAGTGTGTGCTGACTTTTCAACAGGCTTAAATGATTGTGTGAAAGACCATGCGTACCCTCTACCATCTCTAGAGGATATATTCACTAAATTAAACAGAGGTAGTGTTTTCAAAGTTGGACTTGTTGGAGGCTTACCTTCAGGTTAAAGTCAGTGAAAAATGTTCGAAGTACCTGACAATAAACATGCATAAAGAGATTTTTAAACTAAATCACCTTCCTGTTGGCTGGTATGGAGTATGCAATTGCATATTTAGATGATATTTTGATTAAAAGTGAAAACGATGCCCAACACAAAATGCATATTAGAGTGGTATTTTAGAGAATTGAGGAATACGGGTTCAAGCTGAGTGCTGAAAAATGCAAGTTCTTAAAGAAGATAAAATATTTAGGGCAGATCATTGACAGTAAAGGAAGAAAACCGGATCCAGAAAGGGCTGAGGCTATAAAAAATATCTGATGATGTGGCTAAACTCCAGGCCTTCTTGGGATTAGTAAGTTCTATAGCATTTATATCCCAAAAATGTATGATATGAGAGCTCCTTTAAATAATTTCGTGAAAAAGGGCGCAAAGTGGATATTGTTGAAAGAATGCGAACAGGCTTTTAAAAAAATAAAAAGCTGTCTATTAGCAGATCTATCGTTAGCGCATTTCGACCCGAAGAGGAAAATCATTGTAGCAGCAGATGTCAGTAATGAGGGACTAGGTGCAGTATTGCTTCATAAATTTGAGGACGGATCTACGAAGCCAATAGCACATGCCTCGAGAATGTTACTGCCTGTGGAACAAAGTTGCAGTCAAATCGAAAAAGAGTTTAGCAATAATCTACGCTGTAAAAAAATTTCACAGGTTTCTATACGCAAGAGAATTTATTCTGCAAACAGACCACAAACCGCTGTTAACAATATTTGGTTGAAAAAAGGTATACCAACTTACACGGCAAATCGACTACAGCATTGGGGTGTAATTCTATTGAATTATAATTTCAAATTAGAATATGTGCCTTCAAAGAAGCTAAGTCACGCTGATGGGTTATCAAGATTAATACCTAAATATACTGAACCACTGGAAGAAACAGTAATAGCAGTGCTAAGAGACAAAAGTGAATTGTCGGGTCTGTTATTAGAGAACTACCGGTTGCACTAGAAGATGTGAAAAAAGCAGTGGTGAACGATGATTTCATTAAAAAAATGAAAAAAGCAAGTTTGGTTGAACAAGAAAATTAAAAAAGGAATTAGTATGTCACCTTTTCCAATCTGCAAACAGGTATTACTATACGCAGATTGATTTGTAATGCCGGTTACTCTGTAAAAGAAAATTCTGAAAGAATTCCACACTGGCCAACTGGGGATTTTGAGAATGAAATCTCTGAGAAGCTATATTTATTGGCCGAAGATGGACCAAGACATAGAAAATTTGGTGAAACAGTGCAGAGGATGTCAGCTGGCAGCAAGGTATCCACTGGCAAAGATTCAACTATGGCCAAAGACAGATGTCTCACTAAGTGGCCAGAAATTGTTAAGTGCAGACATCTGACTGCAACAAATACAATAAACGCACTTAATGAAATTTTTAGTCACTTTGGACTCCCTAAAACTTTAGTCAGTGACAATGGAACACAGTTGACAGGAAGAGAATTCAAGGAATTCTGTAGATCATTGATCATGTGACAACACCAGTATATAATCCAAGATCAAATGGACAGGTGGAAAAAGTCATGGATACCTTTAAACGAGCGTTGAAGAAAAACCAAAGCATGGACATGAATGAAAGAAGTATTCAGAAATTTTTGGCAGTATATAGAATCACGCCAAACCCAAATACGACGTCAGGGTATTCGCCAGCAGAGTTAATTTTTGCGAGAAAAATACGCTCTGTGTTCGACAGGCTGTTGCCTAGTCCAGTGAAGAAAACTGCTAAAAAATAAAACCAGATGACTAAAGTGTATAAGCCAGGTGACAGTTTTTTTCGAGAACTTTAGGGCTGAAAAAATGTATTGGGAAGAAGGAATGATAACCAAAGGAATTGGACAGGTCATATATGACATAAAAGTGGAAAAATTTTGGTGCAAAAGACATTGGAATCAATTGAGACCCAGACACACTACAGAGATCATGGAAAATACTGAAGAGATTCCAATGGAAGTCCTGTATGATGCATTTGAAATTCCCGTTCCAGTAAGTCAACATTCGCCAATGGAGCTATCCCCAACCTCAAGGCCAGAGGTACCAGTGTGTCAAATGCCACCACTGCAAGGAGGATTGAGTAGAAAAAGACTTAGGAAAAAAATCAATCGATTAAGTCCAGACCCTAAAAAGAGAAAATATTGAAGCTAAATTTCATGGGAAAATTTAGCTCGGGAAGAAGTGATGTAATAAATATGCATACACCTGGGTTCCTCCTTACAGTAATATGATTGGCCGGTGTCAGCCATAAATACAGACTATGTGGAGGTACAAGGGGGGGAGCCTATTGGCTATGCATATTGCCTACCACTTTGATGAGGACCAGTCCATTATAGTTACCTGCTAATTTGTCCTACTCGGTTACAGTAGTCCAAAACCACTTTGCTACTTCAGACAAATATATCCCTTTCCGGGACATATCAGGGTCAAATCACTTTTTGGATTACTTCAACCAACACTTTTATCCACTGGGTCCCCAAGGCCACATGACTCAATGGATAAGTGTTGGTTGAAGTTATCCAAAAAGTGAATATGACAATAAAGCTGAGGACAATAGTCCAAATAGTGTAAATAGTTACAACACCTTATTTCAGAAATATAGACAGATGTTTTGAAAGTTTAAAGAATTTAATCTTAATACTCTAAAAGTAGGATTTTAAGCAAAATTCAGTATTTATAAGTAGCTCTCAGGAATATAATCTGTTTTGAGAGGATCTTGTATTTAAGATGAAAACAAAGGCACTGATAACTGGAATAAATTGTAGTGCCAAAAAAAACCTAGAGCAGGACTCTGGTTGGTTTTGCTCATTTCTGCTTGTAGAAATTGATTGATTGATTGATTGATTGATTTTGTTTAGTGACATATCAACTTCTATGGGTTATTTAATGCCAAAATCTAAATATTTTGAACACAATTTTATGACTTAAATACATTTTGAATGCATTTGCACGCCTTAAACTACAGATAAAATGTATTGTTGGCCATTTTGATTTAAATAGGTATTGCTGATAATTTTACTATAAAATGTATAAAACCTCCCATCTCCTTGCTGCTGGATGTAAGTTTGCAGAAATGAACTCAGCTGGATACCATATGGCATAATAGGTAAAGATGGAGGATTTAAGATACTTTGATCACAAAAAGATTGGGCACCCACAAATGGAACTGCTGATCGCTGAGAAGGATGGTAACTATTAAAAAAAAAAAAAAAATGTGAGGCATTGCATCAGGTCAACTTGCATTTCAATTCAACACTGTTGGAATTCAGTTCATTTCTCTGCACACTCTAAATTGCATTCCATGCGGTTACATAGTTATTGACCAACAAGGGTACAATTACTTAAATCACAGCATTGTTTACTACACTGTACATGTGCCAAAGAAGATCACCATAAAAGACCAGGTACTGTTGTATTGGCTGGGCAAACAAGTTATATTTCTAACATTTCTGAGCGGATGGTCGAGTTCATAGCTCTAGCCTTCCTTAGGTGATTGGAATTTTGAACTTAACCCTTTATTTCATCGACTGGGGTAGATTGTGCTAGTTCCACATGCCATGTCTCCTCTGGATGTCTCTGTTATCTCTCTTTTATCTCAACTCTCCAAGTTTTTGTTCACCTCTGCAGTAGCCAGTTATTGAACTCACAACTCTTTGGATCAAGTCACTGGATCCAACCAACATTTTTATACATGAGAAGTGAGTTGAGCTAATAAATTTTCCCCTCCTTGTTCAACTCTAGAACATGCCTGGAGTGCTATATGCATGCAAGGATTCTAGCATCTCATAGGTGACATGTTTTGTAGCTGCTCTTATTAAGGCAAAGAGAAGAGATGCATCTTTTTAGGTAGCTGTCTTATTTGGGAGGCATTTTAGTTTGTATATTTATTTAGAGAGCTGCTTACTTTGTAAGAAAAACTTGTGAATCCATTTATTATTGAATGTTTTTATTGTATTTATATCATTTTTTTCTCCTTGCAGAAGTATTTTGAAAGTCTGAGTAAGCAGAGAGAAGAGGGTTTCATTTGTCCTAAAGTGCAAGAAGATGCTGTTGAACAGGATGATGTTTGTCTGAGTGATTCTGGTTATTCGGCAGATGGTAGTGCTGCCTGTGAATTGTCACGGCAGGTCAGCCACACAGAAAGCATAGATAGCAGCTCAAGTAACATCAACTTATTAGACCTAATGCAAGTTGATGCAGCACACAATGACCAGTCATCTAGATCGTCGTCGTCATCTTCAGATGGTGATGATGATGATGATGATGATATAGTTCAAGAATGTGAAAGTAGCTGGCAGAATACCTCTGATGCTTCCAGCACTGTCTCCTCACTGGCACAAGGTCAGTCTGCGGTTGTTCGACAGTTGCCCTGGCAGCATGAAATTGGAGTTTCACTCGTGGACAGAAAGGAAGCTTCTCTGGCATCTGATAATCAATCTGCAGCTGCTGCTCTTTTGTGCAAGACACTGCCAACCAAGCCTCCATTGGCAAATTTGGGAATGTCAAACTTGAAGCTGGCATCAGTGATTTCATCTGATTCTTGTACTGAAGAAACACAGTGCTTTAAAGAACTGTTGTTGAAAAAATCAGCTGAAAGAGTCATTACAAATGGTGAAGAAATAAATGCTAATAGTAGTAGCAGCAGCAGCAGCAGCAGTAGTAGTAGTAGTAGTAATTGTAATGATGATTTATCAGAAAGAAACTCCAGAAGTTTCAGGAACTTAGTTAAGGTTGTAAAATCAAAACGGGTAAGAAACTTTCCACCAACAACTGACATTTCTTGTGATTTGAAAGGCATGGAATATGAAGCATTGACTTCCCCAAGTGGCCTTAGGTTTACTAACAGAACAGCCCCTGATGCGTCTGTTGGTTGTGAAAGCTCTTCAGATGATGATGATGATGAGAGGAATGCCAGTGTTGAACTAATTGAAGGAGAAGTAGATGAGGAGGAGGAGTCAGGACCTGTAGCACCTGAGAAGGAGGAAGATGAGGAAGAGGATGAAAATGGGGAAGACGAAGCAGAGGAGGAGGAGGAGGAAGATGTAGAGGTAGAAGGAAGGAAATTTGAAGAAGAGATAACAGACAATTCAGATTCTGAAAAAGATAATGAGAAGAGTGCTATTGGGGATTCTGAATTTGGAGATGACAATACTGATGATGATGATGATAATGATAAAAAATTGGAAAATGAAGAACAAGGTTTTATGAAAGATATTTTATGATTGGTTATGAGAAGTAATTGAAATAAAATAAAAAAATAAAAAATATCATTTCTCTTTCCATAAGTTTGTTTCTAAAATCTTTAAAAAGATTTTAGACTTAAAAAAATATTTTTTCAAATTAAAAAAAAAATGTCTTGTGTATAATTTTTTTCTTTTTTGAACAGAAATGATATTTTAAATTTTTAATGTTTTTTCTCAACCAATTTGAAAACAAAAGTAAAAAAGAAAAAATGTCAGAAACCTTTTCAATGCAATACATTTTCCTTCCCTTTTCACCTCAAATTTTCTTGATTCAACTGAAACTTTCAATGCAAAACAAAGAATTAAAGTGATTTCCAATCAAACTACTCAATCAATAACCTTGATAGAGTTTATCATGAAGTCTCAAATTCTTTCTATACAAGAGGGTGGCAGGTAATTGTAGAATTTGGTCTTAAGCAAAAGATTGATTCCATCCATTCCATATTTCTTCAAGATTATTTTTCTCTTCCCATTCCCTACCTTATGGGAGCTTTCCCTTTTTTAATATCCTCTTTTTGACTTATGGTGCCAAGCACCTTTTTGCAAAAACAGACCAAATTTATCACAAACTAAGACAGGATGGAAAGAGACTCCTCCCAACAAAACTATTAGTTTTTTTGTTTTTTTTACATCAGTCACTGTAAAAAAACAAAAACGTTTTTCTTAATTGTAATTCTTGAACTAACAAGATTACCTTGTTTCTATGTTGAAAATATAGTGACAAAATTCAGTAACCTTATTTTCATATTTATTTTTTCAACTCATTTCCTTGTTTTTAAAGCTTTGAAAATATCATGGACTTTAAAAAAAAAAACTATTATTTCGAATTATTTACAGCAGTTTAAGCCTCATAAGCATTCGTGATATTAAGAAATATGTTTTAAAACGAATAAATTGAAAATATAATTTTAAATATATCAGAAAAATATATTAGCAAACACAAACAAAAATTCAAGTTTTAAAGTATTAAAAGAAACTGGTAGATCACTAGAATTTTTAAAATTTAAAAATATATATTTCATATTGAAAAATCTGAAAATGTAAGTCTTTTTAAAAAGATTTTTTTTAATTGGAAAACCTATTCCTTATTCCCAACCACCACTAAAAAAAAAAAAATCCCACTTTCTTCTTTGCTTTAATACTGCAGTTAGGTTAATTCTTTTTTGATAAAATCTTATAACCTGTCCTGACAATGCAAATATAGTGGCTTTGCTGAAACTAATTCTCAATTCTTTCACATTCCCATTTCTAACTTTTTATGCTGAAAACTCTGATATGTTTTTAGCATTTGGCAAGCATCTTTACAAAAATAAGAATTATAGCTTAGTGAGGTTGTCTGTTTTTAAATTGTTCCTTACTAAAAAATAATTTTAACCTGTTTTTTTTTTTTTTTTATTACTTTTTTAAAAGTGTTTATTGACCCGTAGACTTTGTTTTTTGTAACATTATGACCAAGATTACATAGCAAGGTTTATGACAAAACAGAAAATGTATAATGTCTATTTTTTTGTACCACTGATGAAAACTTTTAAAATGAGATTATTTTACTTGTGCCTTATGCTTCTTTCAAATGTTTAAAAAAAAAAAAAAATAGGTTGAAAATTTTAGATTTACCATCTTTGTCATGTGATTACTTTAGTGCAGTGGTACCTAACCTTTTTGTGCCATGGGCCAGTGTCATCCAAGGCAATTTTTGCTAGGGGTGGGGTGTTGGGATTAGTCATGCGTGTAACAAAACAATAAACCAGACCATGATAGTCAATAAAATGAAAAAGATTTTTAAATTTCTTATGTGCGGCCTGGTATGCTCTGTGGCCCGGTGGTTGGGGGGACCACTGCTTTAGTTTATTATCTTGTGAGATTAGAATTTGGGGGACCTGAGTTTAGGTGAAGAACTTGTTAATCATTAGATTATGAAAACTATTTAAAATTTTGTTGTCATTTGTGTTATTTATTCTTTTTAAATTTTATTTTATCTTTTTTATTTTTCCATAAATTTAGTTAGTATACTTTTTTAATTTTTACTTTCTGAGTCCAGTATCTCATCACTTTAAAGTAACTTTGTTTTCGCTTTAAATGGTTTCACTGCCAGTTATAAATTTTTTTTTTTTCTAACATATGGAACTATTATCTATATTTAGTAGGATCAAATGGATTGGTTTATCAGCATTAAGAATCAGTGTAAAATCCAACTTCTGGTGATGCTAATTCTTGTTTTAGACTTCTTTTCATTGGAGCCTCTGATGATAAGTTTTGTTTAAAATTTCTCATGCAGTATAAATAAAACAAAGCCAACAAAAAATATTTTTTTTAAATTCCTTGACAAAACTTTTACTCAGTGAGTCAAAGGTTGAAACTATCTCCCCCCCCAACTTTCATATTACTGCCAAAAATCAAGGCCTTGTAAACCAAAAAAAGAAAATGTGTATGAGAGGAAATCCATCACTTTGGTTTTGTATAGATTGGACATTGGAAAATTTTTTTTTTTTTATGTTAAGTTACTGGAATATATTTGAAATGCTTTGTCTGTTCCTATCTTGGCTTAAAACGGGAAACTTGCATGTTTTCTGATTTTATAATATTTCTGTCTTTTTATTTTTTTTCTTAAGCTTTCTCCTCTGTTACTGTTCCTCTTAAAATTTCTGCTTTATATTCATGATAAATACAAGCTTCATTGTTTCCTGAATAAAATGCTGTTATAATAATGTTATTTTTACCCATCATCTTCTGGCCATGTTAATTGTTTTTTGTTTTGTTAAGTGAGCTCTAATTCCACTTTTGCATGAGCAAAAGTTGAATTCATAATAAGGCTGATTATGATTATACACTGTTACATAAAATAAGAAACTATCGTGTGTACAACTATAGTGTTAGGAAATTGAGTCATAAAAACAACAGTATTCTAATCTGTGTGTGTGTATATATATATATATATATATATATATATAAAACATGATGAGTTTAAATCTATGACTAGTCCATTTTCCTGATATACATGAAATGTCAAATTTGTTTTTAAGACTTTTCATTGCTTTTAGGCCAATGTCATACAGGATGACTTAGAAATGCTACATCAGGACAATTATTTCTTAAAACTGTTTTTAATTCAGCACTAATTTCACTTATGATAAAGATAAATGGTTCTCTGTTTCAAACGGGATTTAAAGAGTCACCTTTCTTTCTTTCTTTCTTCTTCTTTTTTTTTTTTTTAAATACATTATTGAAATCTTTGTTTTTTTTTTTGTTTTTTTGTTTTTTTAAATTGTTATAATTTCTGATGTTGTTATTGTGGAAAGGTATCCATACTGTTTCCTTTCTTTAACTTATAATAAAAATTTGGAATAGAATTTTTATCTATTAAAATGCAAATTATATTTGTGTGAATATATGATAAATGTTATTCATTTTTTTTTTTTTAAAGATATATTTTTTTTTGTAAAGTTAACTTTTTATAATTAATTCATTGTTTGAAAAATATGATTGATGAAAAAGGCTATAAAATGTGATATTTTTATCATTCCCAAATGAAAATGTTATATTGGTTATATTTACTGTTGAAATATTTTCTTAGAATTTTCCTGCAAACCAATTTCTACAGATGTTTAATGGAATAAACATTTGCTGGTGATGACAATGTTCTTAATGTCCTTCCCACCACTCAAGTTCTTATTTTTTTTTTCACACCATTATTTTTTTAATAATGGTACTTTATATCTTTTACATATTATGGATACAAAGCATTTGAGAACAGAGAAACCATTTGCCTTGTTTTATTTTAAAGTGATATTTTTTGGAAAATTTACATATAATATTAAAAATTTCATAACTTTTTAGTAAATAGGCAAACAATTGTTTATTACACTATTTATTCTTGTTTGAAATAATTGAGTGATAATTTGATAAACAAATGATGTTTGTATTATCAAGCTGGGTCATTGTCATTCCAAAAGTTGTCCAGAATACTGAACTCCTTCAATATTGTGCTATCACACTGCTAATGATAGAAGCAACAAAAATTCAAGTAATTTTTAGAATGATTCATTCAAAACGTCCCAGAATATTTGTAAAAACTTGATTCTGTGTTTAATGTCTGATCCTGCATTATATAAATAAATGGTAAAAAAAAAAAAAATAAAATGAAAAATCATTTAAGATAACATTTAAACAAATCATGTATTCTTGGTTCTTTTCAGTTCTGTTTAGTTCTCTTAGACAAATGATTTAACGAATTAATTGCATTAGTAATGAGTTTGTTATACTTTATTTAACATCTATTCATAACACTAATGTCACAGATTGTAAAATCACTGTCCATTTATTGAAAGTTTACAATACTTCAGTTGAGGCTTTTCATTCTTTTAGTGTTTAGATAAGACATAGTGTTTACTCAAAATATCTATTTCAGACCAATAGCTACATATTTGTCTCGATCTGGTGGCTCAGCTTTAGTCACTTTCCCGCTGCCATAAAGTTATCACTCTGTATCTTTTCTGTAAATCCTTTCATGGTAAGTGTTCCCTATGATATCTAGACTTTTGAATTTAAATGCAGTACTAGACTGGCGTCATGATCTCATCGATTTACAGTTGAGCTGGTTAGATGTAGCTGTAAGTTCTATGCAAATAGTTTTTCTTGCTTGTGGAATTCCCTTCTGGCTTTATGCTTTCCAACAAACTTTAATCTGCAAAAATTTAAATGCAATGTCAATCATTATTTACTGTCCTCTTGATTACTCTTTTTTCTTCATGTTCAGTATCAATACTTCTGTTCCTAATTCTTCTACGCCCTGTAACACCTTGTGTCTTAGTGGCTTTATGGCCTTGCATGGGGTAATGCTGATTTTAAAAATTTCTCATCCCATGATTAAAAAAAAAAATAGTTGAATTTCTATTTTTCCTATGTGTTTAAATTTTCCTTAAAAATCTGCCTGATGTTTTTCTTTTGACTTTTACAAATAGATTTCTTAAAATGTAAATAGCATTTTTCTGGGAATTGCATGTAGGGATTTTTCATGTTTTTTATAGTGTGACAACTCGTTATACATTCATTGATACAATGAGAAATAAAATATTTGGTTACAGACATTACAAGTGTCAAAAATAAGACTATAACTCGTCAAGTGTTTGAACTCCGTTCTCTCACTGATTTTTCAACTTCTCATTTTTTTCCTTCTTTTTATGCATATGTATCTACATGTAACCATTAAATCCAGGAGTTTGTTGCTAGGTTATATGTAAAAGTATTTCTCTTTGAAAAAAAAATATAGTTGGCACGAGCAAACTTCATGACAGTACTTTATATAAAGATCTTCTGGTTGAAACATTAGGAATGGAGTGTGACAAATGATTAACATTGAATAATAGTAAACTACTATTCAGCAAGTCTTAATCTGTGACCAAATGTCTGGGCTTGCAACCATATCATATTGAAACACGTGATCTTATATGATCACCAAAGTTAAGCAACATTGATCCTGGTCAGTACCTAGATGGGTGACCACTTAGGAATACCAGGTACTGTAAGCTTGGAAAAGCAAATGGTTTAATAAGCAATGGCTTGGATTTGGAAATTGTACAACTGAGTTCCAATTCCAGTTGGGTTCTTATGAGTAAAAACCTTTGGGAAAGATATGAATCCATCTCTTCTCCCCCTAGATAATTGGTTAATTAATAAGATTTGTATCAGTAAATCATTATTTTTGTTAACTAGGTACATTTACTAATTTGGTATACATAAGGTTTAAAACGAATTTTTAAAAATGAAGAAAATGTTTTCATTAAGCTTTCATTTTAGCTTTAATTGAATGCTAAAGGATTTAAAATTTACTATATCCAGTAAGCAAAATACTCTGTGGTGTATTTCAAACAGACATTATATTGAATGGAAGGATATTTTTTTATATTTTATTTTATTTATTGCAATTGGTCAAAATGGCCATTTATGGTACATTTGTAAACAAAAGTTAATTCTCAGTTTTAAAAATTTTGCAAAAATAAAATATATATTTCTGAAATGTTACTTGAGGAAAATTAGCAAATTTAATGTTAAATTAATCTGATTTGAAACAAATATTACTTATAGCATAAAATGTTGTATACAAATATTTCTTAACTGTCGGTTTTTGTTTTTCTGTTAATAAATTTATTCACATCTGATTGATAGTTAAATATGGTGAAGCAGATGTTTTTTTTTTGTTTTTTTTCTGTAAGCAGGTACAACCCTTAAAACACGTGGCCTTTAAATGCTAGATTTACCGGTTTGTACAACTATAGTTCAGAAATTCTGCATGTAATCATACATACAAAAACAAATCAAAATTCTTTTAAAAATATTTGGTGTCATCAAGTTGTAATAAGCTTTATAATATATGATTAGTATATATAGTTTTACTTTAGGAAATTATTATCTCATTAAAAATGAATTTTAAAAGATTTAAAAACTGTATAAATTATTCAATTTAAAATTGTAAAAAAATGAAAACATCTAAAAATTCATTTTTTGTCAAAAAATATTTTTCTTCAGACAATATTGTTTTAATATTTATTATTCATAGAAACAATTAAAACTTCTCTAATTAAATAATGTCTTAGTTTTATTGCATTTTTATTTTCTGATTCAGAACAGATTTTCAGTAAGACTGGGTTCGATTTTGAAAAAAAAAATTTGGCGATTTTAAATTCTTCAAAGAATTCTGCTTTTAACTAATATAGTCACTAAAAATTCTTGTATTTCTCAAGTTTTCATAAAATTAAGTAAGGGACTGAAACACATGTTTAAAAAAAAAAATTACCATGATTTTTTTAATTAAAAAAATTTCAAAAATAATTTCATTCATTTGTGAATAAGTCCAGTAAATTTCATTAAAATCAAACAATTTGTTTTTGCAAGAATTTTCAAATTAATATGTTTGTCACTGAAAAAAAGAGGCCAAAATTTGCTATGCTAAATGTTAGTACAACAGCTGATGCAAGAAAAACAAGCTTTTAATTGAAATTTCGAATGTTCTAAAAGGTGTAAAAAATTTTAATTTAATGATCAAAAAACATTTTGATCCTTAATGATTTTGACAATAAAACTGTTTTCATTACAGCATGCTGATTATTATTATTTAAAAAAAAAAAAATTTTTTTTTTTTTTTTTTTTTTTAAGCGTTTTTGTGGAGGTACCTATTGTTAACTATGCTGACTCTTGTGGCCTTACCTAGGATTGAACTCACCATCCTTGGCTAACAAATTCTTGAAGATATTAGACGTCTACTCCTCAGTTTAATGGATGTGTTCTAAGCAGTGAGAGTAGCTTGTCTCCTTTTTTGCCAAAGGGGAATTAACCTTTAGTCATTATTTGAGTTTAATGAAATTTCTCCCCGGTCAGCATTTTTTTTTTTTTTTTTTTTTTTTTTTTATTAATTTCTCTGAGGAAATGCTGTCACTCAATTTATTGAGCAAGATCCTATTATAACACTTATCTCTGAAAATTCTTACAATCTAAAAATATTTCTGGCTTTAATTTTTTACGGTTTATCAAAATAGTTGATAAGCTGTAAAAAAACAATTAATAAATCAACCAGCCAAAAGTCTCTTCTTTACATGTAATACACAATATTCTCTCATTCATTCAAGCAGAACATTACTCAAATTATTGTAGCAATTGATAGGATTTTATTTTTTCTCTAAATTTATTGAGAAGTTACTTTGTAGCAGAAAGAAAAGCATAGACTTGTTTCATTAGCATATGGCCTGTGTATGAAAAAATAACTTCTCTTTTTGCTCATTTGCTATAAAACAAATCTTATACACTAGTATAAGGGCAGGTTGACTTTCATTTTTTTTTCTTTATTTAGAAAATCAACATTGCACTTTATGAAAGCTGGGGTTTGATGTGATAAGTGCTAACACTGAAAATGAGATTCATAGCTTTCACCAGTTTTTGAGCATTTAATTTTAAAGATTGTCTGAAAAAATGTACAGAAATACTTAATTTCCATAGGTTTTGCTTACCAACTGACTTCAAAATTTTACTATTTTAAGAATAAATCCAAATAAAGTTAATATCTTTTGTGTTAGATACATTAAATAGAAAATATATTCATAGTTCTGCTGGACACAAATTATGTTTTAAATTTGCCTTGTTTATTGAAAATCACACTAGAATTACTTCACTGTATAACATTAAATCATAATATAACTAAATTGTTCAGTATAATTTCCTCTTGAAGTAAATGAAGATCTTATTTAATATCACAATGATGTAGTAAAGTGCTTGTCATGCATCTTCTCCATATACAATTTGTAAAGTTTAAGAAAATTATACATTTTATAAGGCTTTCACTGATCGCCAGAATGAAATTCCAACATTGATTTTGAACCTAAATGTAATCTTTAAACATGTTTCCTCAACAACAGTAATGATTTGGAAAAAAAATATTTTGTGTTCTATTTATTATGTGAAATCCCAACTTTTAAATTGAGTGTAATACCACAGTTCCAAAATCAACCTGCCCTAATGGTGCCATAGTTAAGTAGGAACTAATATTACAGACACATTCAGCTTATTACAGGAGTTGGTTATCTTTTCTGTAAGTTGCAATTTATTGGTAATTACACTTTAATTCTTAAGACTTTTTATGGATTACATGTATGTGGAAAGTAATGCATTATTGCAATGACAACTTGGGATATGAGCTTCCTTATTCTGCTGTTCTTTTAATTTCTTTTTTTTTTTTTTTTTTTTTTTTTTTTTTTTTAAATCATTTCACCCCAAGCAAGGTAATAAAGCCATTAAGACACAGGGGCTTACTAAGTGTGAAAGAAAAAAAATGGAGTGGTAGAGATAAAAGAACAAGAATTAAGACAGAAGATAATGATTGACATTGCACTTAAATTTTTGAAGATCAAACTTTACTGGAAAGCGAGAAGTGTGAGCAAAGAAACTATTAGCATAGATCTTATGGTTGCATCTATAAAATGATGAGACCTTACTGCCAATCTAGTACTGTGCTTAAATTCATAAAATCTAGGTACCATAGAAGAGAGTTAATCAGAACAGTTACCATGAAAGTTTTTATAGAAAAGGCACAGGGAAGCTATATTACAATGATGAGAAATAACTGAAGTTGAGTTTCCAATGACATTACAGATTATTTTTATTTATTTATTTATTTATTTTTTTGAATCTTATCAAGGAACTTTAAATATATAACAGGAACACCAGATCATATGTGGCAGAAATATTCAAAGCATGAATGTATGATAGACTTATACATATGTAAGACAGATTTGTGTGAGAAAAATTGTCTAACATGATACAGTGAATCAATTTTCCTAGCAGCAGACCTAGCAATTGATTCAATATAATTTTGCCACTTCATGTCAGCAGAAGGTGCAATGAGTCACTCTCCTTAGGTTAACTTCAGCCATACTGATGGAAGGCAGAAAGGCTTCTCTCAGACAATAGAGAACAGTTTCGTTTTGGAGGCATTAAAATTAACAAGCCATTCCTTGTCCCATTTAACAACAGAATGTAGGTAATTTTTGAGATCAGCTGCCAATTTGATTGTATCATACTGATCAGACTTACTCTTAAGTAAATAATGGTTTTTGAATTGTATTTAGATAGTAAGCAAGATTCATGCATTTCATAATGATTATAATAAACAATTTGCTTATCTACTGGTAAAATTTGCAATGCCAAATCTAAATATTATTCCAAGTCTGATGATATCAGTTTCAGTTATTTCCCTTTAATAAGATACATGGCCCAATGGGTAAAAGTGTTGGCTGAAGTAATCCAGGGACTTGACCCAAAGAATTGTGAGTTCAATACCTGGCTCGGCTAGAGGTGAACAAAAACTTGAAGAGGTGAGTTACTAAAAGGGAATTAACTGAAACAGATATGCAGACAAGGCATTGCATGTGGAACTAGAACAATCTACCTTGGTGGATGAAATAAAGAGTTTGGTTTGAAATTCCAACATATATCACCTGAAGAAGGTCAGAGCATACAACTGCCAAAACACTGTGAATATAACAATAAAGATGGAACAGAATGGACAAAAAATAGACAACAGTCCGAATGTAAGTAGTGTAAATAAATAATTTTTTTTTTAATTTGAAAATATTTTATGTGAAGAGAAAAACTTTATGTATTAACTGCTGTATGACAAGTTAGTGATATAGTTTAGTTTCATCATTCTATTGGAAAAAATCTAAGATCTCATATCATGTTTAAAGTACATAATGATGTTTATGTAAATGTAATTGTATTTCTATGGACTTCCTTTGATTTCTCTTTAGATTTTAATATTACAAATACATTCACCTCTCTTAACTTTGTTGGTTCAGTGTTTGTAAATTGTGATGTTAAAAATCAATTCTTCCTGCTGATGAAAATGACAGTTACTAAAGAATTTTATGTCCCTATCTTAAGAATAGCATCTCTGCTTGTAGCCGCTCAATGTAAGCAAAACGACGAGCAATTCATTTCATTATAAAAAGCTACTTTAATTTTCTGACGTTTTTAACTGT